GCGCAACTGCAGAAGGCTGCGCACATCGTTTCTCATATGCGTGAGCTCGTACAAGGCATCATCCAGCGACCATTGCTGTCCGAGGAGGTCTGATATGGCTGCCCAGAGCTTGCGATCTGCCGACAAGAGCTCTTGTGTGTTCACTGCGCGAAGGCCAAGGCTGGCATCTGGCTGTGTGAGACACAGGTCGGCTATCTTTTTGTCGAAGGCTTTGAGATTCGACAAATGCGCTGCTTGGCACAGGGCCAGGGCATTGCGAAAAACGGTTTGAGTGCGGGTGAGCCACCCTGCCGACAGCGCGTGGTGCTCCACTGAAACGTCAGGGGTGTCGTCAAAAAAGGCTTGGCTTAGAAGCTGCAGTTCTGACCGTACTGCCCGGGATGACTTTGCCTCCATGCGTTCCTGGTACTGACGTGATGAAAGGCGGAACTGCCAGGGCACCCATTTCAGGGATTGTCCGGGCTTGCGGCCTTCGTGCGCTAAGCTAAGAAGGCGGATGGATGGCGCGGTGTCGGCGTCCAGCAGCTCACCTGGGTAATTGGACTTGAAAGACTCCGCAAGGCTGGACGCTTGGATGTGAGCTTGGGCGGCAGGCGCTCTGCCCACGATGCTAGCTGGTTAGGCTGAACACAGGGCGACCTGGAATTGGCAGCGGGCTCGGGAGGCGCCGCTGAGTTCATGCTTAGCCGATGGCACTCTGCTAGGGCTTTCCGAAGGCAAGGGGTCCCAAAAAAAGGGGTCCCGAAAAAAAAAAGGTTTCCTTTAGCAAAGCTTGACCTCGCTTGAAATGCAACCTGGAGCCAAATTGCGGCGCATATCTAGGGGTCATTATTTTGCAGCCACACGCCTCCACGCAGCGTTTTAGGTTTCGAATCCTTCGCAGGACGAGGTCGTTTCCTGGACGGACAAGTGCTAGGAGCCTGTCAGGTAGAATAGAATCCATTTGGGAAACCCCCTCTAAAGAGAGAGGTGGACCTGTCAATATTGATCCATTGTTGACTCAAGATGATTCAAAGTTGATTCAATATTGATCCATTGTTGACTCAAGATGATTCAAAGTTGATTCAATATTGAGCCCGGCATTGAAGCCCTGCCGCGCCACCTGCCTGGCATAGAAGCCTCCACCCGGCCGCACCACCTGCCCGGCATGGGAGCCTCACCCGGCCTGGGAGCTTGGAGTTTTTTAGGCTTATAGGAACCTATAGGAACCTATAGGAAACCTATAGGAAACCCATAGGAACTCATAGGAAGTCCATAGGAAAAGAAGAAGAGGGCTTCCTATGGGTTTCCTATGCGTTTCCTATGGGTTTCCTATAGGGTTCCTATAGGTTCCTATAGGTTTCTATAAAGGCCCAAAAAACCTCCAAGCTCCGACCCGCTTGCTACGCCACCAGAAGCCTCCACCCGGCCGCACCACCCTTATAGGAACCTATATAGGAAACCTATAGGAAACCCATAGGAAACTCATAGGAAGTCCATAGGAAAAGAAGAAGAGGGCTTCCTATGGGTTTCCTATGGGTTTCCTATAGGCTTCCTATGGTTTTTTTAGGGTTCCTATCGGTTTTTATAAATTCCTGAAAACCTGGCTCCGACCCCCTTGCCGCGCCCTGCCCGGCATCGGAGCCACGCCAGCCCGTCGACAACGTGGAGGCTTCGAGCGCGCCACATGCCTCCCCCGGCCGGCCACCTGCCTGGCATAGAACCTCCAGCCTGGCGTGCCACCTGCCCGGCAGAAGCCTGCTTACACCAAGGTTGGAATTCTTTGCTCTTCCACAAGGTTGGAATCTAACTTTGTTTTTGTTTGAAAAACCCATTACCGGGCAGCGCAAGTCCGTCAGCAATACTCACAGAGTGTTTTTTTTAACCATTCACTTGCTCTGCCGCGCCACCTGCCTGCATTGAAGCCTCCACCCTGCCGCGCCGCCTTCCGGCATTGGAGCCAGCCGCTAAGTCCGCCCAAGAATTCCAACTTTGCTCGACACCAAGTGGAAAACCAACTTTGCTTTTGCTTGCCGGGCCACTGACGGAGTTTTTTTTTCTGGTTTCCCAAATGGATTCTGTTCTACCTGAGAGGCTCCTGGCACTCGTCCGTCCAGGAAATGACCTTGTCCTGCGAAGGATTCGAAGTCTAAAACGCTGCGTGCAGGCGTGTGGCTGCAAAATAATGACCCCCAGATATGCTTGCAAAATGCTCATTTCTGCAAGGCGAGCCCAAAAAAAACAGGGAAAAAAAAGAAAGCAAGCCAAACCAGCCAAAAGCCAGCCAAACCAGCCAGAAAGCCAGCCAGAAAGCCGGACCGGGGCCGCTACCTCTACTGGGGTGACGCCGCGCGGGCACGCAGCTTCCGGAGGGCGCCTACGGGCCCCGGCTGGCCGCCTGGATCAGCTCAACTTTGCCACCGCCACCTATGCAAGACCACGAAGAAGAAGGACACCGGGCCTTTTAGTCCAGCAGGACGCGAACCGGGCAAGGTTGCCCGACATCTTGGGCACAGCAGTCCAGCGTCCCGAACGGCGTGGCGGAGCACAACGTCACCGTGGCGCGCTTCGCAAAGCGGAATCGCCGTCACAGAACAGCCGTCAAGCATTGCTTGGCTCAAGCCGGAAAACTTGTGTTTAAAACCATTCCACAGCCACCTTTGGGTGCACATGTCCAGGTGCTGGTTAAGTCTGATGCGTCTCTGTGTGTCGAATCCTTGCAACAGCAGCCACTCTGCCAGCATGTCTGGCACTGCCATCTGGCAGCTAAATCTTAGGTTTAAGAAGAGCTAAGCACAAAATGGCTGCGAGGCAGAAACATCTGTGTTCTGCATGATTTGTCAAACTATCATATCGTCGCGCAAGCGCCTCGTCGGCAGTCGGATCAAGTTGGGCGGCATCAGCATTCCCACTACCATCAACCACCATCACCCATAATCATCAGCATGATGGATGAAGATGATGACGATCCTGACCGCTGGATGATGATGATGGCGATGATGACGTCTGGCGCCACGCTGAGCACCACTTTAAGATCCAGAACGTCCGAGTTCGGCCTCCCAGGTCGTCCTGGACTCTGCGCTGGTAGAGTCCTTCAACCGCGTGCTCCTCACGGCGCGCTCTGTCGGAAATGAAGCTGTGGCGCAGGTAGCCCGGCCGATGTCGATGTTGTAAGGCTGCCCAGCTGCATCTAACACTCCAGAGGCTGTCCTCTGCCTTGCCGCGCTGATGGGGGCCACGTCCTGCCCCAGGTTGGCCAGCAAGTGGATTTTGGAGCCCGCGTCGTTGTCCCAAAAAGTCACAAACGCGCTGAGTTCTGGTCAGCAGGCCAAGGTTGCCTGACTAGCAAATGCGAAGCAGGAGCTCGTTGTTTAAGATCCTCTTGGTTTGCGCCAAAGGTTGGCGTGCGAGGCAGTCGTTCTGCGGCTGAAAAAGGTGCATGAAGGCCGGCAAAACTTCCAGGAAAAAAATGTCTCATGCGGAGGATCTGGGTTCCTAATCTCAGGCTCTGCAGCGGGTGCAGAGCGGTAGTTGGACACGCATCTCCTCGACCCCTGTACCTCTGAGCAACAGACAAAAAAAGGAGGCTGTTGGCTTTGTCTGCTTTCCCTTTTTTGGGTTTTGCAGTGAAAACTGGATTCCAACTAAAGTTCAGTCACCTGAATTTGACTTTTTTGGAATACATCTCGACAAGAACAAGAACGCATCGCACGTGATTGCAGCAGGGTCAAACTCAGTCAGAAAACGCAGAACCAGGGGGGTGGGGGGAAGTGTTTGTGGCACACCTCATGAACTTTTTTGTTAAGGGGAAACTTGTTCACACACTTTTGGTCACTTTCCCTCACTCAATTTCAGTTGTGTGTTAAAGTTAACATTGTGACGCTTGGTGAAGTTCCAACAGTAGTGAGCATTGGTGAAATCGATTTGTCTAATTTTGTCCACGTTCATCAAACGTTAATTTTCAATTAAATTAAATTGATACAAACTGCACTTCTTTGGGACGCTGGTGAAAGTTAGAGCAAGTTCTTGGTGGCTGCTCAGTTGTCACAAAATTTCACCACGTTTCGCTAGTATTCACCAAGAATCATTAGTTGTTCATTCAACATTTTGTCCATTTTAATGACAATGCGTGGAATTCAGTGATTTTTCGAGCTTCCTATATTGGTTCTGTGCAAGGGGAAACTCTGCAAGCGTTTGTTTTGCAGGTTTCCCTCCAAATTGCATTGCATTGCGCATCTGCAAACTTGAGACGTCTTTTGCACTGAGCACAAATGCTCGCCATTGTGTCAAGTTTCAAAGAAGCGTCTGATTTGGATTCGGACATTGCTTTGCTTGCGTCTCACATGCCTAAGCAAAAGGCAAACCATCGATATGCTGGCTGACGTGCAAATCAAACACAAAACGAGAAGTTCAATGTGCAACATGCAAAACAAGTCAATGGCCAATGCGCTCACAGACCGGAACAAATTGCAACGATCTTGAGGGACCCGAAAGGTGGCAGCACAAACCGTTTTACTCAAGCGGAATTACACCTCTGAAGTTCGGTCACAGCAAAGGGGATTGCGGCGGGGCATCTAGAGCCATTTAGTTTCAGCAAATCATCCAACTGATAGGAAGCCTTTATGTTCTTGCACAGGACATCATGGAGATTTGTTTGCACGGGAATTTTGGGTTGAGGAAACTTGAAAATTGGTGGCAGGTTCATCCACGACAACAGGTTGAGTTGAAGGGGTCTATCGTGCCTTTCTCCAGGAAACCTGCTGGTGGCTCACGTGGGAAGACACGTTGGTACATGATTTCCAACGAGAATCCATTGCGCATGGGCCGCCAGCAATTCGTGGACATGCTTCTGGAATGCTTCTAAGACAACCACAAACAGGGTGGTTTGATGTTTCATTTGCGTCACTGGCAGCACAAATTTGGAGCTTGGACATGTTAGGCATGCTGGATCTGCAGCAATGCACCAGTGCGTAAAGGCAAAGCAAAGGGGTGCAAGACAGCGAAGGCTGGGCCGCCGGGCGAGCGTTGAAAGCCAAGGTAGCCAAGGTAGCCATTCACTTGCCGACTCTCCGTCGAGCCATGTTCAAAGGAGCAACCACATGAAAGCGGCCGCGCTCAGCCTTGCCAGCGGGGTCGCGGCCGAGCAGCCTTGGACAGCTTTGGGCTTGGCTGGCAATCTGAATGGTAATGTTCCGCTTGTGGCGGAAGCTGTTGAATCATGGCTCAGCTTGGGTGGCAGGGCCTTCGACACAGCTCTCATGTATTACAATGACGAGGGCCTTCGTCAGGGTATTCAGCAAAGTGGGGTGCGCGAGAGCGAGGTGTTTGTCACCACCAAGATCCCGCCCGAGCGGATGGGATTTCAGGAGGCCTTGCTGGCACTGAACGAGACCCGAAGGAACGTCTTTCGTTCCAACAGGCCGCTGGATTGCGTGCTGATCCACTGGCCGGGTCGCGCCTGGCCGAAGCGCACCACTGACCCGCCCTGCGTCGTTGCTCGTGGCTCGCTGGCAGGAGACTGGTCCAGGTGTCGTCAAGAGACCTGGGCGGCCTTGCGCGAGGCGAAAGCCGCAGGATTGGTTCGGCAGATCGGAGTCTCAAATTATGAGGTGCCACATTTGGAGGAGTTGCCGGATGTGCCTGATGTGCTGCAGATGGAATTCCACCCCTGGTGGAACCGAGTGGACCTCCTGCAATGGTGTTTGAAGCGCAAAGTCCAGCCTGTGGCCTACAGTAGCTTGGGAGGCACGATATGAAACGACCTTCATGAGGTCAGATTTGGGACAAAGAAAGGCATCCCACTGTTCTAAAGCAACGTATGTTACCCTTGATTTGGTTGGCTCGCGCATCACAACCTTTGTTGCAAATCCTCGCTCTTTGTAATTGTGTTCGCTTTGCAACTTTTCAGTGGGTCAGGTGCATCCTCCGACTGGTTGGATGTTCCTTCCTTGGTGCAATTGGCCTCTGGGCAAGGGTGTACCGTGGCGCAGTTGCTGCTGAACTGGGCGGTGAGCCAGGGAGTGTCTGTCATCCCGTCAGCCAGGAGCCGCAAACACATGGCCGAAAACCTTCGATGCTGCGAGAGGCCACTTCCAGCTGAGGTCTTGGACTTCGTCTCCCAAGTTGGGAGCCTTCAGCAACGCACCATAGAGCCAGACCCACGCTTCGTCTTTGTTCCCGGTGTCCCGGTGGCTTCCTTTGGTGGCCCGGTGCCTCCGTCGCATGCTCACTTGAACTTGTTTGGTGGAATAGAGCAATTTCACGCTGGCAGCCTTCGAAAGCAATGCTGGGGAACATGGAAGAAGCCGTATCCATGCTGCAGTCCAGAGTTCGGTCCGGAGGGTCTCTCAAGCTGTTGGGATTCGGACATGGATTTTGCAGAATGCTGCTTGCCTGCAGCATACCTCAAAATCGAAGTACCGGACATGGGTCTATTTTCGGCCGACGAGGACCTGGACTTTCTAGTCGTGGGTGCTGGCTCTGCCGGGAGCATTGCAGCATCTCGACTGGCCCGCAAGGGCTTCAAGGTGCTGCTCTTGGAATCCGGCGGGGAGGGGCTGGCCTCTTCGAGAGGACAGTCTCACCCCAACCCCTCGGCCGCAGACCAGCTGCAGAGCTGGTTCGTGCACACCGTGGAGTGGAGCCTTGGCGAGGTGCTTCGCACCACTCAGCTCCTCCATGGCAGAGGCCTGGGCGGCAGCTCGGCGGTGAATGGCCGCATCTACACCCGCACGGCGCTGCCCTTTGAAGGCCAGCTGGTCGCGGAGGCCTACGCAGACGTGGAGGCGGACTTGCGTCTCAGCCTGGAGGCGGAGGCGGAGCTGTCCGCCTGGCAGAAGGACCTGGCGCGGGGCCTCGCGGCCGCGAACGTGCCCTTCTGTGAAAATGCCTCCATGGGCACGAGGCCTGCGGTTGGCCCCGTGCAACGGATCACGGGCTGCAGACATGGGGGGCCGCTCTCTGCGTATCATTGCGCCATGGGCGCCATGGGCTTGCAGGCGGGGAATGTAAAGTTGCTGCAGCATGCCCACGTAGACCGCCTGCTCGTGGCTGGTGGGACTGCCCTTGGCGTCGAGGTTGGCAAGGTGACATTTCGATCCAGGTTTGGGGTTGTGCTCAGCGCCGGTGCTGTGCAAACTCCGAGCATTCTGGTGCGCTCTGGTATTGGCAACCGTGCGGACTTACAGCGTCTCGGAATAGGTTTGAAGGTGGAAAGCCCACATGTAGGCTTCAATCTTCAAGATCATCCCTACTTGCCATTTCGAATCAGCACGCGTGTCTCATGTGACCACACTGAAAAGGGTTTGTACGCGTTCTACTCGAATGTGAGCAATATTGCGCAGAGCCGGAAGCAAAGAATGTTTGAGTTGCAGTTGATTCCTCATTGCAGGGGTGAGTTGCCGACCTCAAAACTTGAGCTGAAGGGTTATTTGATCCTGCTGAAGGGGAAGACCAGCGGCCGAGTCGTTGTTCGCTCTGGCGACCCCAGGGACCCGCCTGGTATCCTTCAGGACCCTTTTGCGGGTGAAGGCGCCGATGCCTGGCAGTTGTTGGAAGGCTTGCGTGATGTGTACCGCCTCTTGAAATTCTATTGGCGACCGGCTGGACCGTCCGGACCGCTTCTTCTCGAGCCGGCTTTCGACAGTTTGATGGAGAATGGCTTTGGAGGGCAGTACTGCGCGCAGCATTTGGGGCTGTGGCAGCATCCCATGGGCTCTGCCCGCATCGGGCCTGTGCTTGATGCCAACTTGCGCGTGCGCGGGGTCAAGAATTTGTATGTTGCCGATGCCTCTGCCTTGCCTGATTGGGCACTGGCCGGTCATCCGGATGCAGGAATCCGAGCTGTCGGATCGCTGGCGGCACGGTTTGCCGCGGAGGAGGTGTCAAGCTCAAGGCGCGGAACCGAAAAAATGTGTACGATGCGCTTTGCAAGGTTCATGCATGGGATTGGTTCAGCTTCGAGCTGTGTTGTTTCGGTGGACCCAACATTTTGTTGCTATCACTCGGATTGAGAGATACGATGTATGTAATTAGTTGCACACAACATTTTGCTTTGTCAAATCGCGGCAAATTCTGGCTCGAAACAAGTGAGGGAACAAAGACGCTGGTTCGAGTTTTCCGGCGTGCTTCTCTCTGCTCGTCATGCGCTCAGCTGTGAGACTCTGTTCACGTTGGGGCTGCCCAAAATATACGCACCCGCATCTATTCTGCAAAGCCTGCCGGATACAGGGATTAGAAGCGGCGGATTCTGCAACATGAAGTTAATTGACCAGTGTGCAATAGAGGAAACACTTACTGTCCCGCTTGCCACACAAGGGATTAGAGTCTATCTATGCGGTCTACTGGTTTTTGCGCGCTGAGGTGCAATGAAGTTTGTGGCACTGCTGCTGCTTGCATATTGGCCATCTCTTGATGCGGCTTCGCTCCGGAGCAAGATGCGGAGGGCCAAGATGACATTTGTGGAGGACGCTTGTTAGAGAACCAACAGCTGCCTGCACAACAGTCCTTGTGAGCAGTGAGGGATGTCCAAAGTCAAGCTTCGGCCGCGCGTTGGCCCCATGCCATGTTTTGCTGTCAGGCATTTTGAGGTGATGCAAGGCTACAAAGCAAGCATGAGGGATGCGTAGATGGGCATTGGCGAAAGCAGCCGGACCATCAAATGTGTGATGTGGACTGCGCCTTTTGGCAATGTATTCGGCATGCTCGACAGGAGCAAATGTCAATGCAGATGAAGATGATGATGCCAGAGAAGGCGACCTTGGACCACATTGAGGCCACAGTTGAACAGTAGTGCCAACAACATGTCACGCGCCTAGCTCTTATGCCCGTTCAGGCGTCGATTCTCAACATGGCACGGTCCAAAACGTCCAAGCAAGACACATCTGGATCCAATCTGACCGGAGCTTAGATACCGCTGGCATGTGGAAAATAATTTCTGCGTTCGGCGTTGATCATCAGGACTGCTTTCTTGGACCAGATCCAAGACTTGCTCGACACCACCATGAAGAAGAACATTCTGCAGCGCCAGAATCAGACGCAGAACGATTTGGATGAAGCCTATGCAAACATGACGACCTGCACCCACCCCAACGATACCGACCTGGTTGAGAGTCTCAAACAGCTGGACGAGACGCATTTGCAGTGCCGGCAAGAGCAGGACCTTGTGCACAGCCAACACATGGAAAAAGGGGGATGCCTAGTTTTGTGAAACAGGAGAAGTGAAGGGGCACCTTTTGGGTTCGAAATTGGGACTCTTTCTTTTCAGGACAGGATGTGGTCTGACTACAACACCACCTGCATCGTAGCGCGTTGAGTCCTCAGAGTGTTCAGCCATCATTTTGTTTGCAAAACCAGATGGGTATGGGTCAAAATAGGGGCACCCCAACTATTGCTGGTCCGCCTCTGGGTTTTCCCTTTGAACCATCCTGAAAAGGGCAAGCCTTCAGAAACTTCAAACAAGACCCAAATGCAGGCAAGATCTTCGAGGACGAGAAGGAAGCCGTTTGCAATGCCTACGAACAAGCGAAGGCGCGTCTTTCCTGGTTTTTGGCAGCGGGTTTGATGAGTCACGTGCTCAAAACCTGGGTAGATGATCCGGTTAGTAAGGGACAGTCCCAGCCAGAAGTAGTTGCGGATATCCGCCTTCTTAATTCTTTGCATGGTTTTGGGCAGACCATTTTAATACCGGGTTTTGATAGTGACTGATGGATTCCGATTCGAGGTGTTTCCCCCACCCGTCACCACGTGTGCTATGGGTGCGGGCACTCCGGTCGTCGCCTTAGCGTCGTTTTCATCGTCGATGAGGATGACATGGAACTCATTGCCGAAAGGATTCCCGCGTTTTGCTGCAGTGTACAATTAGGGGAAGTCCATGTTGACCCGCTTTCCGAGTCAGCAAAAGTTGGAGTACATGGGTCGATTTACGCACGCACCAATCATTTCGGATGTTCCAAGCATCAAGATTCACAGCACGACTTGTTTCTTGGAGCCGGCATGGTTCAACCGTTCAATCGTCTCCCGGGGGTTCGTTGCTGCCAGCATGAGGTTCCAACGATTGGGCATTATTTGATCGACATGGAGAAGTTCTTCACTGCTGCGTATGATGCACTCGCAGCCAAGAAACATGCGTGCGAGAGTATCGGGGATTTCCCCAACGACGAGCTGTGCAAGCAGAAGATTTGTGAGTACCATGCTGCTGGGTCGCATTGTTTGCGCCATTTCTCGGACTCAATTTGACTCAATTACCAAAATCAAAAAGTTGGTAGTCATGGTAATTGAGTCTGGTTTTGGTAAATGAGTCTGTTCTTCTCACATGAAGCTTAGGTTTTCATCCACCGAATGATTTTGAGATGAACCAGAGAGCCTCCAAACCGCCAGCCCCAATGCCCAAGGCTGGGGGTGTGACTCAGGACAAGAGGATCGGATGTGACAAGACGCAAGAGGCTTTCGAGAAGCCGGCCTGTGACGGTCACAAGCAGTATCAGTGCAGCAGCTTGGCGAAGTGGACATATGGACTCTCTTGTGGAGTTGGTTTTCAAGACAATTTCAGGGAAACCACCCATTTTGAGGGTTTTCTGTTTTGGGACAAACCCATGTTGGAGCAACAGCCAATATTCACCATTTACTCACCAAAATGCCATGAGAACATGGGAGTTACACACTAAGATTGAATTGTGATAACTTGGGCTACAGTAAGTGAACAAGAAATCCAGCAGACCTTTGGAACAGACACCCATTTGTTAGACGTACGTACGTCTCATCGAGTGGCGGCAGGTTTTTAACTCCCAAGTCTGATAGTCGGCAGTGCAAGGTGGGTACTCTGACTGCTACGCCCAGAAGAAGGCAGGTTCCCGTTGCGATCCAGATTTGAGAGATGAATCCTGCTTGTTTGTAGTGTTGATTTGTACCTAATTTCTTGCCGACTTCTGAATTTGACCATTTTGGTTTCTAGATGTTTGCCAGCATCATGACATATCATGTTTGTCCATGGCATTGGCACGATTACTTTTGTTCTAGTTGTTTTTTTCTCCCCGCCCTGCGTGAATCGCTGATTCCAGAGCTGGATGGGCTGGCAGTTGGTTGCATGAGGATTCAGAGGATGTCCTCCCGGTCTCGGCCTCTGGCAGGACATCTACGACAACGTCAACACGCTGGCGAAGGAGAACGAGAAGGCTGCGAAGGCAGAGTGGCGAGCAGTCCTCAGGCGCGCTTGGGCTGGAGGGAGCGGTGTGTTGTCTCCTCGATCTCAGGCCGCTCGGTTTGGACTTGGGCTTTTGGAACTTGTTGGCTTTCGGGCCAAATGGTGTGGGTCAAAATGAAGCCACCAGGAGACCGCAGGTTTTGGTCCTTGGTTCCATTTACCAGGGTTTCATTTTGGGGTTGCCCTATGTTTGGCTCACAGCCAAATGCCTTCTGTTGGCATTTGTTGAACTAGGGGGTCAGCACTTCCCATAGCATGGCTTCATTTCTGGCTTGCGAGGGATTTCACCGCGAGTTGCCTGGTTATTCATTAGATTGCCGTGACTCGGCCCGTTCTTGATCGCATGGCATAACTTCCACGGCATTGACCCACTGGCCCATTTTGTGGGACACCTGGTTGGCTGGTGTCTTTGCTTGGCGAGTGTCGCAGAGCACCTTGCCCCGCTCAGATGTGATGTGCTTAATAGGGGGAGCCAGCCGGTCGTGGTTTTCCTTCTGGTGTCCTTTAAACCAAGCTGAGAAGGGTACCCTCAAGAAAGACACAGATATGGTTCGTGAGCAACTCGTTGGCAGGATCGAATGCCTTCTCCAAGCGCTTACAGTGCCGGAGGGCGAGATCGAAGAAGCCATTAGCGCATGTAAGGCCAGGTGCAGTTGGGGATTTTTTGCCTCATCTTTTTGTGCACATTTCCTTGGATTTCCTTGGATATTTTTGACAGACCTAAAAAAAGGACCATTTCCGGTTGCCCGGGTCAGAGGCCAAGACGCACTCCACCAAGCCAGTGGAGCTGACGTATCGCACTGAAGTTCCCGCCGAGCGAGCTTGTACGGAGGCCGGGACTGGGGTTTAAAAGTTTCACCAGTGGAGGTCTTTTGGTTTTTGTGGTTTTGGTTTTGGACTTGTCTTCTGTCAGCTTGGGAAATGGAAATGGGGGATTTTCATTTAGAAAGGTCTCACAAGCAGCGGGGGGAACTGTTTGTCATTTCACGTCGTAACAGCAATTTTTGGCCGCTGACTCAAATAGCAGTTGAGAAGTTTATAGAAGGGTTTGGCTGCGCTCAAAGGGATCCATCAGATGGATACCTCTTCAGAGACACCCCATAAATGGCAATCTACTTGGCTAGAGGTGCTACAGTTAAAGAAGTCTCCGTGCGGCGCGCCTTAGCCTAGTGTTCTTATCTGTTGCCAAGCATAGCTTACCCCGGGTTCCCCTGTGGGACTTGCCCCGGGTTCCCCTGTGGGAAAGTCAGCCACAGTCTATGGGGCAACTCACTGGGAGGTTTACCTGCAGCCGGGAATGGCGGCGTTCTCCAGCACCTGGTATGCCGGTCTTCCAACTGCCACTCCTGCTGCAAGCTGCGCGTCTGCGCTCCTTGGAATAGTTTTGGAGCAGACGTTTCCTTTCTTTTTTTTGTTTAAAAAGAGAACCAACTATTCACTCGTTCATTTTTTTTGAAGAGAACCAATTATTCACCCGTTCATGTTCTTTTTGGGGGGGTCCCAACGCAAGCCGCATTTGGGGAGGGGCGTCCTTCACCATCCCATATTTTTGGTATCTTCCCTGGTACGCCTGTTGCATTCCCGTTTGATCCAGCCGGGGTCAGTGCTTTTGGATTGTTTTGAGCAAACCTGGAAATCCTGTCTCGAGCCCTTGCCCAACAACAGCACGCAAAAGCAAGCCGCTCAGCAACAGAACACATGCAGAGGGTTCAAGGATTGCATAGGATCGCCATGCCAGGTGCGAGTTTTCGAGCGCGGCTGGTAGCCATGCACTGAAGCGCCGCACCCGCCAACTTAAGCGGGTAACCGAACAGCTGAATCCGCAAAACCACCTCACCAACCATGGCGACATTCACTGCTTTGTTTCGCTGCAATCTAAAACCCAAAATCCAAACTGCTAGTGCCGAAGGCCTGCGGCTCCAAAGATTCAGGAAGACCTGCAGGAATGCTTGCTCGAGTCGCCTCGGATTTTTTGTTTCTGGAATGTTGGCATGGATGTGGGTTTGTCCCCAAATCTAAGACGGGTTGCCACTACCCCTCAAACCACTAGCCCCAGAGATTTAATATGCAACCACTAAGCCGTCGCTTTTTGAAGGGTCTGTACCCCCGTTTTCCTTTGGAGGTAGTGGTTTGGTGAAAACAAAGGCCCAGGAGAGGCAGAGCTACCCCCCTAAATTTGGTTTCACTTGGCTGTGGGCAAAATGGAACCCTGGTAAATGGAAACATGGACTAAAACCTGCGGTCCTCTGGTGGTTTAATTTTGACCCATACCCACTTTGGTTTTCCGAAAGCCCAAGGTTTCCAGCCTTAGAAAAGGCACCGAGCTCTTTGGTAGGTGCTGCATGGCAGAGAGCTTCAACCCGACCTATCCCTCTGACGTGGCATGCCCCTATGTGCCCGGCGCAACCACCACATTGACGACTACGACCACCACCAAATTGGTGATCACAACCACCACCAAGGCAGCAGCAGCAGCAGCAGCGGCTACAAAGGTAGCCACTTTCGGGGGCTTTGGAGGGTTTCCCCGCTAGCATCCTTCTGCGCGGCTGAGAGCTGAAAAACTGCGCGCTCTGACATGGCTTGGCAGCGGCCAGGGTGTTTGCAGTTTGCCATGGAATTGCATGTTAAGGCGCATATCTTCGCTAGACTGCTCGCACTTTTCGTTTGCCCTGACATGGGCTTTTGTCACGCTTGTCAAGCCCCCTTGATGCTTTTTCTCTGACTGTACATGTGGGGTTCCCATGTTTCAGAAGCCAAGCGTGTCAACAACTGACCAAGTCACATTTCGTGCTCAAGCAATCAGAGTTAGTTAGGCGAGTTGCGTGGTTTTGCAAGATGGTGCAGAGCTGTTGACCTATGGCAGGCGCAGAAGTTCTGGGCGTGATCGTGTTCAGCAAGGATCGGCCCTGCCAGCTGTTGTGCTCTCTGGCTTCGCTGCTTCGTCATGTCACCGGCGTCTCCTTGAAGGTTTGGGTTCTGTACAAGGCATCCCCCGAGTTCAGCGACTCATATGCCGTGGTGGAGAAGCTACTCACCACTCAGCTCTACGGCAAGGCCGAGTTTCATTTCGCTGAAGAGGGCGATGAAACTCTGGGGGAGCTGTTGGACAGCGTGACGACGCAGGCGAGGGGCGAGGCATCCGCCGTTCTGCTCACGGTGGACGACGCCGTGTGGTTCGATGACTTCGACGGATCGGCTGCACTCCGGCTGCTGAGAAACGATGCACGGGTCTATGCGGTTCATGCGAAGCTCTGCCCGCGCGTAGAATATGCCCACCCCAACAACAAATTCATGCGAGTGCCTCCGTTCGCATCTGAGAGCAAGCGCGACTTGCGGTCGCAGATCGAAGCTGCATTTGAGCCAGAGCTCCTCGTGTTTGACAGGGAGAAAGGCGAGTATGACTGGAACTACCCATGGGAACTGAGTGCGTCCATTTATCGATGGGAGGCCGTCAGAGAGATTTTGGCGGCTATCAGATTAGAGTTTGGGCCGTCTGCCGCAGACCACCCGAATCACTTGGAAGGTTATGGCGTGCGGCTGCTGAAGCAGCAGAAGCTGGCATCAGCCCAGGCTGCCCCTCTTTGTGCGTGCCCCTCTCAGCCGGTGGTGGCGATTGTGACCATCAACCGCGTGCAGACCTTGTTTGAGAATCCGGTGTATGAAGGCGAAACATCCCCTGAGGTCCTCGACCGAGTGCTTCGATATGGCCTCCTGAAGGGCGCGCTGAGAGAGGAGCCGCTGAAGCCGCTGAGGGACCAAGGCGCTGCGTCTCTGGCTGCAATGCTGGGCTGGTCGGCGGAGTGGTGGTCACAATATCTGGAAGGAGCTGATGATGAGATTGGAAAGGCGTGGGGAAGCATGTTCTGCTTCCAGAGCTGGCCTCCGTATATGCTGGGAGTCGCCTATGCCGGGGCGTACTTGGACAGCGTGCATGTGCCTCTACTGGAGCAAAGGCAGTTGCCGGCCCAACTGGCTCCTCCAAGTCCGCTGGTATCTTGGCTGGTGCCAGTGAAAGATACACCATCGGACTGGTTGGCACTCGCTCTCGAAAGTATCAAGCAGCAGGAGGGGATGGGTCCCGGCAGCTGGGAGCTGATTATTGTGGATGATGCGTCTGGAGAGGACACCAAAGCGTCCTTGAGATCCTGGGATTGTCCATGCATCAGGGTGATCCACCGGCTGGAGAGCACAGGCATAGCTGCAGCTCTGAACGAAGGCTTGAAGCACTGCCGCGGCGACTTCATCGCGCGCTTGGACGGAGACGACTACGCGCATCCGCAGCGTTTGAAGAAGCAACTGTCGTTCCTGGAAAGGCATGAATCAATCTCGATCCTTGGTGGCGGCTTTCGCACTTTTGGGGAGCTTGGAGCTGAGTCTGTTCCAGTGAACTTCAAGCAATATCGGTTGCCGTGCCATCCCGTCCTGACGAGATGGCACATGCTGTTTTCTTGTTCGCTGGCACACCCAACAGTTACGATGCGGCGCAGCGTCGCCGAAGTGGCGCAGTATCCGGAACAAGAAGCTGAAGATCACTGGTTCTGGCTGTCTCTACCTCTTCACATACAGATGGCAAACATCGCCGATGTGGTTTGCTACATTCGGCGGCATTCCAACTCGAGGACTGCACAGGCGGCTGCCTCACTTCGGCAATCCTCCTACGCTGCGGTGTGCAGGTTCTTGTGCGAGAATGGCTTTTCCAGTCTGAGCGAAGCAGATGTGGCAGTCTTGTGGGGGAAGGCAAATGCAGAGTCTGCCGGCCAGGTTGAGGTGGTGTCCAAAGCACTAGACTGGATGGAAACATTTTTCGTGTCACTCATCAAGACCGGGACTTCCAGTGATAAGCAGCCGCTCTCTGCCAGCTTCATCAAAGACTTCCTGGGATCTCGCAGTGCTGCTCTGGAAGACTACGAGACTCAGCCAATGCATTGGGTTTGGACCGCTCTTTGATTTGTTTGCGGCTGCGGCTGCTGCCTAAACCAGACATATTTTTTTCATCGAAGTGAGGTGCGGTCTTCCTGCAGCAAGCTTCGAGGCGCCGGGATGATACAGTGTCAAGTGGGGTCAGCATCAATTTGGCTTTTGGCTTGGGACCACAGATATCACAGACGGTCTCTGGCAAATGCTCATGTGACATGATCAGGGACACATCACGCGAGACTGTATAATGAACAAGCTGCTTTGAGCTCCTTGCAAAAGCAACAACGACCACTCACAGGGTTGCGATTGCGGACGCTTTTGCACTTCAAGACTTGAGTTGCTGGCAGGTGCTTTGGAGCTGCACTCAGTATATGGCTCGACAGATGTCAGAGATGCAGAAGCTAGGTCTTTGTCGTTGCTATCATTGCTATGACAATCAGTGTCGATTGAGTGGCTGACAGCTTGGCCATTTGACAGACTTTGATTGCCCCCCAGATAGGGACGGGACCTGGGAATGGTTGATCTCCCCCAAATGGAAGCCCCTCGGTGTGCGTGCATGTTGCGGTAATCACAAAGTAGAACCCTCGCTTCAGACGGCTTGATATGAGACAAGACTGCGCCTGAGGCTGTCCAGTCTCTGGCAACTGGCGAGGTGGATGTGGGCGCTGCTTTCATGAAGCAGTGGCTCAAGGCTGGACTCACTTGAGAGTTTTCCTTTTCCCCCCTCGACTGGTATTTTTTTTCTTTCCTGTCTGGCGCACCAGGACTTGTTGTTTGGAAGATTTCTTCTTGGGCGCTTCTCGAGAGTCTGAACCCTTGGGTTTAGTCTGGACCCTTGGGTTTACAATTCCCCATTGATTGCCCATGGCCTAACCTCTTCGGTGCGTGTGGCGAGTGATCTGTCTGAGGGCGGAGATGCTGGGCTGAAGAGCCTCGGCGCGCTGATCCAGTCGGGCTACAAGTGACCGAAAAGGACCGGCACTTATGCGCTTCTTGGGTCGTTTTTTTTTCTCTTTCTTTTTCTTTTATTTTTCTTTGTTTTTTTCTCCCTCTCTTCTTCTTCTTCTTATTCTTCTGTTTTTCCCTCGACGGAGGGAGTAGTTTTTGGAGTGCTTGCAGCATGCAAATGCTTTCATCATTTCTCGACGCGATCTCGAGCGGTAGCAATCATGCTTAGCTGAGCCTCGCAGTAGAACCACCACACAGCGCAATGGGAAAGAAGAGCTATCAGAACTATGGCAAGACGTTCCGTAAGCCCAAGAGGCCATTCGAGAAGGAGCGCTTGGATGGAGAGATGAAGATCATCGGAGAGTACGGCTTGAAGAACAAGCGCGAGGTGTGGCGCGTCCAGTATGCGCTGGCAAAGATCCGCACCGCGGCTCGTACGCTGCTGACCCAGGAGGAGCGGAGCGAGACGCGTATCTTTCAGGGAGAAGCGCTCCTTCGCCGCATGGTGCGGATGGGATTGCTCCTGGAGTCCGAGAAGAAGTTGGATTTCGTGCTGGGTCTGACCACGGCCAAGATCATGGAGCGCAGGCTGCAGACGAAGGTCTTCAAGTTGGGCCTGGCCAAGTCCATCCATCATGCACGCACATTGATTCGTCAGCGGCACATCCGCGTGGGCAAGCAGATCTGTGACATTCCCTCGTTCTTGGTGCGGCTGGACAGCGAGAAGCACATCGACTTTGCCCTCACTTCACCGTTTGGCGGTGGCCGACCAGGACGTGTGCGCCGCAAGATGATGGCCAGCAAGGGCGGCGGCGGCGGCGGTGGTGGCGACGAGGAGGAGGATTGAGAGCAATGTTGGTCGAAGGGGCCGTAGTGTAGTTGAATATAGCATGAGATTGCAGGCCTTTAGATGGCACTCGCCGGTTCTTCAAATCACCCACCAGCAGTATGATAGTGAAGAGTCAGAAGTTTGCGGGCAGGCTCCAAAATGTCGCTGGCTCGCAGTTGCTTTGTTAGGTATCGTGATATGTCTAACATCAGATCTTCGAATCTATGAGGGTAGTGCAGTTGTGTTGGAGCATTGGCATGCATTCATTGCCAGCCAATTGTGCTGCTGGAGGTCGTGAGCCACACTCAAGCCAGCCAGTAGAAGAAGCCGTAGCCGCCAAGCAGCTCAATGGGAAAGAAGAGCTATCAGAACTATGGCAAGACGTTCCGTAAGCCCAAGAGGCCATTCGAGAAGGAGCGCTTGGATGGAGAGATGAAGATCATCGGAGAGTACGGCTTGAAGAACAAGCGCGAGGTGTGGCGCGTCCAGTATGCGCTGGCAAAGATCCGCACCGCGGCTCGTACGCTGCTGACCCAGGAGGAGCGGAGCGAGACGCGTATCTTTCAGGGAGAAGCGCTCCTTCGCCGCATGGTGCGGATGGGATTGCTCCTGGAGTCCGAGAAGAAGTTGGATTTCGTGCTGGGTCTGACCACGGCCAAGATCATGGAGCGCAGGCTGCAGACGAAGGTCTTCAAGTTGGGCCTGGCCAAGTCCATCCATCATGCACGCACATTGATTCGTCAGCGGCACATCCGCGTGGGCAAGCAGATCTGTGACATTCCCTCGTTCTTGGTGCGGCTGGACAGCGAGAAGCATATCGACTTTGCCCTCACTTCACCGTTTGGCGGTGGCCGACCAGGACGTGTGCGCCGCAAGATGATGGCCAGCAAGGGCGGCGGCGGCGGCGGTGGTGGCGACGAGGAGGAGGATTGAGGCCGGACCTGTGGTGGCTCTTTGTTTTGCTTGTTGCGCAGTGCAGAATTTGCCTGGTTTGCATGTTGCGCTTTGATTGTTGCAATGTTCCTTTTGCAGAGCAAGAGCTGTTGATCTGGCAAAGCGCAGGCCTGCGTCGGCTTGACAGAGGAGCGTGCTGGCACGGTGGTTGGAAAAGAGCTGGTGTGTCCAGCTGTAAAGCGTTGGACGATTGTCTTGTTTGCAACACACCTTTGTGAGGGACGGTACATGATCCATGAGAATGACTGCGTAGGATGTGGGATTTCGGTAGCAGGGTTTCCAAGTTGTTTGCCATTTTGGCTGGTTTTGAACATGTCATTGTGGGTTGCCCAACCGCAAATCAGTTTTCTTGTGGTGTGATGTGTTGTTAGGGGGTATATTTGGAACTCTGCTGATCATTTCGGGGCTCCCTGTCAATGTTCGCCAAGGTTGACCAGACTTTGAATGCGTGATGGTTGCTTCGTCCAGTTCCCACATTCCGTGCAGGTTGGGGTCATTTCCCTGCCTTCAAGCAGCATGTTTGTGCCGTTCTTCGCGTTACTTCTTGCTGTCTGAAAACTGCTGCACAGCTGCACGTACATGAGTAAAGAAGTCGGGGAGCGGATGATGAAGTCCATGAATGAGGTTGGTCATCCTACGTCAGATATCTTGTAGAAAGCAAATGGTCTCATCATCCAGACCTTGATGTAGGATTGATTGGCCAAAAGGCACTTCACAAGTGCAAGTGCGAGCAGGTTCCAATTGGAACAAGACCGTCACTCCATTCACCTGATACAATCAGCTTGCAGATGGCCTGGCGACGGCTTCCTTTCGGCTCCAGGACATCCCTCTGGAGCCTTTTCCAACTTGAGCCATGGGAAAGAAGAGCTATCAGAACTATGGCAAGACGTTCCGTAAGCCCAAGAGGCCATTCGAGAAGGAGCGCTTGGATGGAGAGATGAAGATCATCGGAGAGTACGGCTTGAAGAACAAGCGCGAGGTGTGGCGCGTCCAGTATGCGCTGGCAAAGATCCGCACCGCGGCTCGTACGCTGCTGACCCAGGAGGAGCGGAGCGAGACGCGTATCTTTCAGGGAGAAGCGCTCCTTCGCCGCATGGTGCGGATGGGATTGCTCCTGGAGTCCGAGAAGAAGTTGGATTTCGTGCTGGGTCTGACCACGGCCAAGATCATGGAGCGCAGGCTGCAGACGAAGGTCTTCAAGTTGGGCCTGGCCAAGTCCATCCATCATGCACGCACATTGATTCGTCAGCGGCACATCCGCGTGGGCAAGCAGATCTGTGACATTCCCTCGTTCTTGGTGCGGCTGGACAGCGAGAAGCACATCGACTTTGCCCTCACTTCACCGTTTGGCGGTGGCCGACCAGGACGTGTGCGCCGCAAGATGATGGCCAGCAAGGGCGGCGGCGGCGGCGGTGGTGGCGACGAGGAGGAGGATTGAGGCTGGATGTTTGGAACATGAGCCACAATCAAAACTCGGGCAATCATGTTCAGAGTAGCAAGGGACAGTGCCAAGCAAATAGTGGGTGCGGCCGCCCTACGAATTCTTCATATGGCTTTGGGTCGACTTTTCTTTTGTTTTCGACTGCGACTCATGTGAGCAGTTGACAAAAAATAGTTGTCCTGACTTAGGATAAGTGATCCCGCTCAACCCAATTGTCCTATATCCTCCTGACTTTGGGGCTTTTATGTTGGCCTTCCGCACAAGCAGTTGGACAGGAGCATAGACTCCCTTTTTCCAACAAATATGGATTTGGACAGGAGACCCTTAGTCTTCGAAAACCTTCCTGCTATTGGAAAGAAGGTGCTTGGACTCGTGCAACAGCAATTCAAGCAACAAGCCAAAGAACCGAAACGAGCCAACTTGGGGTCCGGTGCTTGATTTGTTGCGCGAGGTTTCCAAAGGGAAAGAAAGCAGATGTGCCATGGTCGCCTGCGCGACTGACCCCCTGGACCCCTCTGACTTGGGGTTAGGTGGATGGTCATCCAAGTGCTAGCAAGAATCCTGACTAACCATTTCCATGATTCCTATTGACCATAGGCCATATAATATATATATATATATGTATATATACATATGGTACCGCCCCCCCCCCCCCATGGACCCTGGTTTGGAGATGCTTCAGCTGTGTTTTTTCCAGTGTTTTATGCGCCTTGTTTGCCTCGTTATTTTTGTGGCAACATGGGGGGGTGCCATATACACATGTGTGCATACGTTACATATTATCATATGCAATGTAAGCAAAGATATCAACACCTGGCATCTGACAGAATCTGCATCCATCTCATTGTATTGGGACTTTTTTTTTTAAATTCGGGATTCAAGATTCAATACTCTGAGAGAAACCTTTTTGGGAATCTTGAATCTTGAACTCCATACTTTTGGAAACATAAAATTCACAGGGTTGTCCCAATATTCTAGGTGTTCAATACATACTTTTGCAACTAAGTATGCGCACCTATCTGCAGTCATAAGCATTTCATCTTCAACCCTGTAAGTTCCCGTAATTTCTGTATTCAAAGGGAGAGGACAAGATTCTCGGACAAGCTTACAGCATTGAAGATTTCAATCTTGAATCCTCAATGCAGGGGTAAAACACTTTCGAGGTTTTAGAAGAACTTGAAAGCTTTTAGGGGTTGACCAGGATGGATGATTCTCAGGAAAGTTGTTGTCTGTGCAATCCTCAATATTGAATCCTCAATCCAGTGGCAAAGCACTCTCAAGTATTAGAAGAACTTGAATGCGGTTTGGGTTTGGCCAGGATTGACGATTCTCAGGAAAGTTTTCCGTGTAATCTTCAATCTTGAATCTTCCATCCAGTGGTAACGTACTTTCAAGTGCTTAGCGATCCAGTGGAAACACTTTCAGGTTACTAATTAGCCAAACTTTCAAGTGCTTTTGGTGAGCGGTTTGCTTTATGTAAGCTACGCTCATGTTGACCCTTTTCCAGGAGGAAAACAAAGGTAGGTGTAATGCTCAAAAACTCAGCATTTATTAAGAGGCGCAGGATCATTAGGGGTACTGTGTGTGTGTGTGTGTGTGTGTGTTTGTGTATGTATGTATATTCATATGAAGAATAAACAAAGGTTTGTATGTATGTTCACACACCATCACCCCCCCCGCTCTTGAAGTAAATGTCCACATTTGCTCATCTACTACCTCCGCCTTGTGAGATGGAATAAATTATGGTTTCTTGTGCAAATAGAACTTTAAATACAACTGATTTAGCTAGAATCCCTGTTTCGAGATAGTTTTAGAATTTGAACCTCTCTTCCCTTAGAATTGCCTCTTGGAACACCGTCGAACAAGTTTAATGCCGGACCTTTCTTATGCTACAAAAGGACCAGAATGTAAAATAACACAAATCGTATTGTGATTTTCCTTGCAGAAGTCCCTGACATGTTTAGCCATATTTAATATGAGTTATATTTGAGTAGTTTCTAATTAATTGATTTGTGTTCCTTTTAGACTACTTAGATGATATTTGGGAATAAGTTCGTGTCTAAGTTCTTTTGTTAAAGATTAGTTGGAGTTAACCGGAAATTATATTTGCATTTTCATGTAACTCCAATGTAGAAAGGATTTGTTTATTCAGGCTGTATTGAACAAATTCATATTAGACAACCATATCCTAACTAAGTTATATTCAAAGTTCCATTTCTAGTTGAAGTAACATCCTATTTGGAAAGGGTATTTCTAGTTGAGACATTTCGGAGTATGAGGCTTTGGGGACCCAAGAGTTGGACATGTCGAGAATTCAAATCTCTAGATTCTAGATCCATCATCCCCAGAAGCCACGAAAACCACGCTCCATGGGAAGGTTTGCATTTACATATATATATATATATATTTGTATATGTTTATGTTTACATACATGAAAAAAGACTTGACCATGGCACATAGGTTTGGGACACATCCAGATCCAGCCTTGCCAGGCCCTGTACGGAGGGAGCCGGGAGTCCTGAGCCTGGCGCGGGAGAAAGAAACGGGTTCCACCGGTCGATGGAGTCCGTGGTTTCGGGAGGGGCCCTTGTGGGTTTAAAGCAAAAACAAAGCACCAGGACTTTTTGGATTGTGATTTGTTTTGTGGCAAAAACCACCAGGCAGGACTGAAAGGACTTCAAGGACTGTGAATTTTAAGCAAAATCGCGAGGAAACCGCGGAGACCCGTTCGGCCCCAGACAGTTTTTCGGCTTGTTTCGACGCTGTTGCTTGCCGCCTGGAGTCCGAGGCGGATGGGTAGACTTGGTAGACCCTCTTGAGCTCGGCATGTTGGTTGAGTTGACTTTTCACACTTTCAATTCTTGTATCCTTGCAATATCAAGTGACATATCCTGTCCCGTTCTTGCTGATGCAAACCAATCTTCTTCTGACTTGTCTTACCCTGAGCTAGCTTAGGATTTGATGCAACATGCAAGGAGCTTGTGCCGTGAATCCCAAGAAAGTGACTGTGGGCTCAAGAGCAACAAGTACTTGCAACAAAGCAGCGCACAGCATTGCCGATCCCTTGTCATGGTTTGCGCAACCAAAACATGACGCTGCTTTCAACTGTTCATTGCACGCGAGCGCACCGGAGATGTGTTACCCTTGTTGCAGCCTTTGCACAGCCGATGCGCCCCTCTTCCAAGCTTGCCTACTTGTATTCGGCCACAGTGCGACTTGCCAAACATTCCAGTTCTCTTTCTTACCATGCCATGGAATCTGCGAGTGGAATTGAAGTCTACAGATGTGGGGATCCTGTGGAGGTCTTCTACAAGATGCCATTTCCCGAGGATCACGGGAGGGAGCGCGTGGACATCCTCGGAGATCGCTGGATCCAGTGCGCGACGGCGAGCCTTGGCTCGACCCGGCCTCGCATTGGCTGGACCCAGCGCTGGCTGCCCGCGGTTGTGATGGAGGTGCTGGACGGAGGAGAAGCTGTTCGGGTTCAATGGGAGCTGAGGCAATGGTACGATTGGGCAACGGGAGAGCACATTGAGATCAGCAGGGACCCTCACGCACTGGAGCAAGAGGTAGATGTGCACAAGGTTCGAAAGAGGACAGCTGCATGGCGTATACCAGAAAATCGAGCTTGGACGTCGACGCTGTATCCAACTCGTTCGGAGATGGCTGTAGGCGGATGTGAAGTCACAGTCTCCTTCATTGTTTTCCAATGGGGTGCTGCAAAAATTCCTCTGAGCTACGACGCCCATTCTTGGGGGAGCTTGGAAGGTTCCACTGTATCGAATCGCTTCATCCGCCTTTTTTTCCGAGATGCTGTGATTCCAAAGTTTGGATATGATTACGAAGTCCTCACAGTCTTCATTCAGCACAGTGACGAATTTGCCGGTATCTCCCCCGAATTCCTGGGGTCGGTCTGTCGGGGGCGCAGAGTGTGCGCCCTGTACTTCCTGTGGCCGATACAAGGCACTGAGGTGAAATTTGCTGAACCGACCTGGCCTCTGGCCCTGTTACAGGGGAAGGTTGTTCAAACGATGGGTTGCGACGCGTTCAAACAGTGGCTCTCCAACCCTGCAAGGCGCTCAGAGCTATGGGGAAAAGGCGCCCACAGCTGCTGCCTATGTAGATGCTGAGAAGCTTTACCAGCTGGTTTCGCGCATGGAGGCGTGCAGCATCTTAGCCTTGAACACCGAGTCTTTGTGGGACAAAGGAAGCATGTTTGTTTTTTCAGCGCCCAGCAAAAAAGAATCTCCCGGAGTTCCATCTCAGCATTCTTGAGATGCTTTCTCCCAAGGCATCTCCACTTTGTGGCCCCACCCCTTGCAGCTCTGGAGACTTCTCACCTCGAAAGAGTGGATGACGAGCCTCTGCATGGCCCCCCAGTTCCAAATTCCTCTGACCACGCGCTGCGGCAAGTGCCTGGTGCTCAGCGACCCCCTGAAAGCGGCGACGTGGGCACTGCAGGCGCTGAAGATGTTGAAGGAGGACCGAGAGTGTGAAGCGTTCTCTCCCGGATTTTCTGCTATAAGATGTCATTTCTTTTTTCTCCGTGCAGAATGTGGAGGCGACCATGGTAGATTTTCATTTTTCGAGGTTAAACATCAGCCTTTGGAGCGTCCATCTCCTATTTTGAGACAAACCTCAACATCCAGCTGAGAAGGGGTGAGTCACGCAATTTCAACAGCCGCATGTATTTCTTTCTGCTGCCCATTTGCGGGGCTGCTGGAAAGGCCACGCGGCCACGCTTGAGCCCAGGACCGGAAGCAACCTTCCAGGGATGGAATCGTGGCCAAGCTGGGATATAGCTACGAGGGTGTGGATGTGAAGATGGTGTCAGGTGAGGAGAAGCTAGCGGAGGCAATGTACTTCTTGCTCACGCAGCCGAACTACTACAACGAGTTCGTCTATGTCCAGGAGCAAGTCAACGTACATCTGGAGGCGCGGTGCTTTGTGGTCCATGGCAAAGTGGCTGACGTCCTCTTCACCCGATTTGGGCGGATTGACTGCCATGGATATGTGAGAGACTACGAGAAAGCAGCGTCCGCCCGGGAAGCCAGGGAGGAGTGGTTCTTCAAGGACGAGGTTGCCTGGCAGGATGCCATGGAGCAAGTACACAGGACTGGAAAAGGTGGGTCCCTCAAGATCTGAGTTTTTTCATCAACTTGGGGAGGGCGAAGAAACTTGGCAGGATCTCCTACTGCTGGCATTTGTGGCTTCTGGCCCAATCTGCAGAGCCCACCATCTCAGTTCGCATCGACTATTTGCTGGAGCGGGAATCACCCGGCAAGGCCAAGGTGTGGACGGGTGAAGTTGGAGAGCAGGGGCGCCTCGTGCTCAATGCGATTCATGCAGACGGCGGATATTCATGCTTTGTTCTAGGGGCACCTTCCAAGTCCATTCTTTCCAAGGGATCCGACTCTTTCTTGAAAACCTCCGGAACCCAGGGAATACAGCTGGTTTTGAAAAGAACGATGGTTGAAAAGACCGGGGAATCAACCCGTAGATTTGCGGGGTCCGTTGCATAAGTCCGGCTGAGGTACAGCATGGGCGGAATAGACCCCCTGGTGGTTTTCCGCGCTGTGCTGGACGGGATTGTGTGAGACGCAACGGCGGTCCGCGTCCGCGCTGCCTGCGTTTGAATTGGATTGGCGAATCCCACGTCAAGTCTCCAAAGTTAGCAAGCCCATTCCTTCGCTTGCGCCACGGCCGCGTGCCGGCTCTAGGGCCAAGTGGAATTGCAGTTTTTATGTGAGGACCTTATGGTTCAAGCACGGCTTTCGTGCAAGCTCCATGTAGTTTGACGGATGCATGTCCTGCTCTGGCAGCTTGTGGCCGCAGCGTGGCAAGCTCAGTGATGGATGCAACCAAATCGGTGGATTTGATTGGGGCTGTTCCGCCGTGATCCTGACCCCCTCTAAAACAGGACACCCCTGTTGATCAGCCAAAGGGTCTTACCAAGCCTCAAGATTACGCTCTCCTCAGATTAACATGAAGGCCAAAATTACTCCTGAAAGCTTTCCAGTTTCTGGGTCCCTTGTTTGTTTACATGTTTTTTCTTTTGTCCCATTTTTTTGGGTCCCATGTGTTTGGGTCCCATTTTTTTTTTGGGGGGGTGCCATTTATATGGTTTTGGGCTTCGAGCCGATCACTGTGGCTTCGAGCCGTTGAGGCTGGGGCAACGGAGCGGGGAGCGACACCCGGCGGCAATGGACATGCATTGGACGTGTCCCATTACACGTTGAGCTTCTGCGCCAGATACTTTGAAAAAGTTCATCCGAATGATTGACTTTGGGACTGGCAGTAGGGGTTCTGGTTATGGAGTGTGACTTGTCATGCTCCTCTATACGTTGACACAGCATGGCATTAAGTCTTTACATATATATATATATATATATATGTATGTATTTATGTAAATATTGAGTTGCGTGGAGAAGTGTTGTCCATCAACATGGCAAGTTGCTAGTTCTTGAATGGACACGTAGGCGTGCCGAGCTTATTTGTGGCACTCTCAGGAGAGGTTTTGGAAGTTCACCCAGCCAGTGGTCATTTGAAGGTGTGGATGATTAGTGTTGAGTGGTGAGCGGTGAGTGGTGAGGGGTGGTGAGGATAGAAAGCACGGAGAAAGGGTCAAAGGCCCGAAGTTCGGATTTTCCTTTGAGGTGCGCTAGCGAGCTTAGAGGCCAGTGGCGGTGTGGTGCTGGAGCGACAGCCACCAGGTGGGAGCGCTGGAGCGGTCGGGCTGGCAAAACGCTAGAGGTCTTGGCAGAGCCAAGGGGCATGAATTTGACTTCTGCACTTTGTGTCCCACATGTCATGGCTGACGGGTGCTTCTCCATTCACCATTCGAAGTTACACAACCAGCTCATGGGCGGCACAGGTGCAGATTCGCCGTTCTGCAGAACCCTGTGCAGCAAGTCGGACATCGAGCAGAGAGGCGGGCTCATCCATGTCGTTTCTTGAGCCGCAAGGCGACACTGGCGAAGGGTTGTGGAAAGTGCCGTTTCCGTGATACCACTGTGGGTCCTCCCTATGACTACTTTGTTACTTGAAAGGAAGCCAAATGACAACCATGCACCCTGGATGTTTCCCTGCTGTGCTCCGCGAGTTTGCGAGTCTGCGAGCCTGCGAGGCCTGAAAACTTGCAAAGAGCTGGATGAATCTGAGTGCAAGACCTTGGGCTTCTATCGCAAGAAGCCGCACAATGAGTTTCGGCTTTGCATTTGGCAGCCGCAATGGAAATGCACAGAGGATTGGACGACCGTCTGCCTATCTCGCAACCTTCAGTGTGGAGACCATGGAAGTGCCGAGCCTTTGGATGGCTGCCGTGCATTCTGCTACAAGACGGACACCAGGAGTATTGATGCTTTCTGCCATGAGCTCTCCGCAGCAGAATGCTTGACTCAGCAGCTATATGAGACCGACGAGCAAGGCAACCGCATGATGTGCGAGATGCGAGCTGGAACTTGTGTCGCCTCCCGTGAGAAGTGCCCTGCGGGGAATGCAACTTGCCCTTCACCTGCTCACTTCTCTGAAGAGCATGGCGATCTGAAACCCAGTCGGGACATGATGTCCGTTTGTCGCTCCATGTGCTACAAGACAAACACCGCAGTTTCTGGGCTATCTTGCTCTGACCTGAGCATGTTTCACTGCAGCAGTGCTCAATTCTATGAGAGCGATGAGCTTGGCGTGCGCCGAGCGTGCGCCCCTCGTGGGGGCAAATGTGATGTTGACACTGAGCAGACTTGCTGGGAATCAGCTCCGCTGTGTGGGAGCGAAGTCCAAGTTGCGCCGCCGATTCCGATGTCGCATCGAGATACCACGCAGCCTGCTACGACTCAGTCCACCACCTCTCTTTCGATTGTGACTTCGCACACGACTTTGCCTGCCACGACTTTGCCTGCCACGACCTTGCCTGCCACAACTTCGAGCGACCAAACCTCTGTAAATCGAGTCCCCCCTTTTTGCTTTACCCTGTGCGACAAAACAAACACTCGGAGTCTCAATGCTTCATGTGCAAAGCTGCCGGCTACATCATGCGAATCAGGACAATTCTATGAAACTGATCACGAGGGAAAGCGCAGACTTTGCCTTCAGGCTGGTGGCAGATGCAAGCCGGACTCATCCGCTGTGTGCGACGAGTGGCACCCACTATGTGACATTTCTCAAGCCGACGTGAAAGTGCACCACGCTGCGAAAGAAGATGGCTGCTTCATTTACTGCGACAAAATAAACACAAGGACTGCAGCCTTGTTCTACGGATCTTGGAATGTGTCGAAGTTTCGATGTCCTGAGGAGCAGAAATCAGTCCTGCACCAACCTCACTGGAACAGCATCTCGGCTGGCAATTTCTTGCATTGGGTGAGGGTGACATGGGGAGGTTTACTTTTCTTTTTTTTCTTCTTTTTTTCTTTTTTTTTTTATTTTTCTGCAAATCTCAGAGGCACGGATTCGTTATTAATTTGCCTTTATCCTTTACGGTAGTCCAAGTGAAATTTTGACCGTGGCACATTGGCGCTCTCTTTTCTTTGTTGAGCGTACCCTTTGTGCGGTGGTTTTTACAGGAACCAAGGGAACACACAATTTGGGACTGCCCTAATTGAAGACGCTACACCATTTTGGGCGACCCCCAAAACAGCCTGTTGGCCCCAAAATCAAGGTAAGTAGTACGTACCATAAAAAGACACACACACACACAGGCGCACACACACACAAGACTTTCTTTGCTTTTCTTGGGGAGTTGTTCTCCTTTAAACTCAACTGGGCGTGGCTCAAAACTTACCAGGAGGGGTTATGCAGGTTTGGGTCCATGTTTCCACTCACCAGGGTTCCATTTGGGTACCGGTTTTTTGAGCCACAGCCAACTAAGAAAACATCGGATCCCCCTTTTTTTTCCGCATAGACATCCACCGGGCATCTGAGAGGTCCGGGAAGCTGCCCGCCGTCCGAGGAGTGCGCCAGCGGGCTCTTCTACGAGACGGACCACGACGGGCACCGGGCCATGTGCGGCGCCCTGGGCCGCGGCTGCGGAGCCAATACCTCCACGGCCTGCGAGGCCCTGAAGGGGCGTTGTTTTTATTTTTTATTTTTATTTTTTGTTTTATTTTTCTTTTTTATTTTTTGTTTTCTTCTCTCTTTTTCTTCTTCTTTTTTTGCGTTTTTTGCTCGGCGTTTTGGGCGCCTTTTTTTGGGGGGTTTTGTACGAGGGAAGACACAAGCAGCTTTCCCTGAAAGGGCATGTTTTGGGCCACCTTTTCAAGCATTTGGGAATGTCCAGTTGCTCATTTCGGGTGCGGTTCCTTTTGTCGGGGAAAAAAAGAACCCACGTGTATGGGTGGTAGAGAGATCGAAAGGAAGCGGTTTCTATGATTTGAGGGACTTGCAACTGGGCTCCGCCTTGGCTAGTTGCTGATGCATGGATCTGATTGAACCGGTGCAGGCGTGGCGGCCCATTTGCCGTGGGCTAGATTCAAGTACGAGGCCGCGCGGCCAAAGTCCACGAATGGTGCGGTACTTAGTCGAAGTGACATTGGTTGGCCTCAAACCAAAATCACGAAACAGCACGTTAATGTTCCACTCAGCAAGAGACTGGTGCAGGTTGATTGCCATCTATTTTTCATCGCCAAGGTTCGCTCTGAATCTGGTGCGATGGAACCTGCTCCGTGGCTGCGACCATTCATGCAGTCCTGCCGACTGAAGACTGCAGCTTGCAAGGGCAATGACACTTGCAGACTCAGGTTCAATCGACGCCGACTCAGTCGACGCCGACTCAGTCGACTGAGTCGACTTTTGGGGGTGCGAACAATCCAGCAGCTCGGCTGAATCGCAAGCCGGATCTTTGGCGATCGCTCCCTCGGCTTGAAGCATGCGACTCCACACATGAAGTCTTGGAGGACATCCATGTGCTGAGTCTAGAGCTTTGCTCGTCACAGCTTCTCACACTTTCACATTAGTGTTGAATGCTGGGTCCAGGCAGCTTTCTCCAAGCTCTCTTTCTAAATTGCTCGTCATGCCGGCTGCACCCTTTGCCTACCCGGAGCTTGGGAAGGGCCTCAAAGGGTCCGAAAGGGGCCAGGCAGGAAGGGCGGGTTGTCATGTCCAAGGTGCGGGCGGCGTTTGGCGGCGCAGCCCAGGAGCCTTGGCCGGACATTGGACTTGCGGCGGCGGAGGATGTGTGGTGTCCCGTTGTTTTTGTCTATTTTGTGGTTGCAGCAGCAGCATCGCACGTGAAGCCTGTTGACACAGCTCCGCCTTGATGTCGATGTCTGCGACATGTTGTGTGTGTGTGTGTGTGTGTGTGTGTGTGTGTGTGTGTGTGTGTGTGTGTGTGTGGGTGTCTTTTTGAGTGACAACTGAAAAGGACCAGCAGACGGGAGATCATAACGCAGCTGCTGGATGCTCGATCTTGGTGACACTGCTGCTGAGCTTTGTCTAGGCGAGCGAACATATCAAATATTGGGAACAGCTCGCTTGTGGGGGAGCAGGCATGCTGCAAACATGCCATTCACCAAGGCTGGCAACATCCTTCCTGTCTCTAAGCTTTAGTGCTGTCTGAGACGCTGGACAGAGACACGTCGAGCAAGAGGGCAAAATCGCTCCGTCCGTAATTCAGCCAAGATGGTTTCTATTTGTTCATGATCCAGAGTTGCGATGACTGAGTCTCTGAGGCCATGTGCCCGGGCCAAGTGTCGATTGAGCATGGATGCGATTGAACCTGAGAAAATGTGCTGCCGCCAATCGGCCTTTTCATATCAAGGCCCTTGCGGAACTAGCCGAAGGCCGCATGGAGTTGGAAGCAGCCTTGGCTTCCGCCGATGGCACAGCCCAGGCCTGGAACGAGGTCTACCAGCACCCCCGGCGATTTGGGGCATTCGCCAAGCGCTTCCGACTCGTCCAAGGCCTGGAGCAGCGCGCGCTGCAGGCGCTGGCGCTGAGCACGGCTCCGGCTTCGGGTTTGGTTCCGCCGGACTGCGGCTTGAGCCCCGCTGCGGTGAAGCGCTACGTTGCGGCATGTGGCGTGGATGTGGACGTTGGAGTGGGGAGCCTCGTTTTGGCGCTGAATGGGTTGGAAGGGGTGACCACTCTGAGCTCTTGCAGTGGAGTCCATGTCGGGGCTCACGAGGAAGAAGCGTTGGTCGCCTTCACTGCAGGACCTGAGGTTAGAGTTGGACCAAATGTCATTAGACCACCAACATATTGGTTTTGAAAACCAGTTACAAGGATCCCAGAAAGAGCAAGGCGGTGGCTGAAGCAGTTTGGTGGTTTACACCATGGCTCAAACCGTCCCCCTGGAGGTGCTCCTGGCCCTGCGAGAGCAGCTCGGCGATCATCTTCGAGAGTCCCGGGACGATGTGGTGCGCCCAAAAGGTCGCAGACCGCAAGCCTTCCGCAGCTACATCGTCTCCGTCTCAGTTTTTCTTTTCTTTTTTCCCTGTTTTTTCCCTCTTTTTTTCCGGCTCCGGCCTTCACTTGCTTCACCGGGGTGCAAGCTTTTGGCCCAGTGTCGTACTTGCACCCAGGCGTTTTCTCGTGCCAACTTGGCGGACGGACGGCCTGATGCGCAGCAACGGCTGAAAGACATGGGGATGCTGGCCCGAAGAGTTGAGAAGCTGGTCACAGGTTCTCGGGCCTCGGCTTCCAAGCCAAAAGGCCTCGCGCTTTGCCGGGGCGAGCTGGGGCAACTGCAGGCGCAATGGTCGAGCAGCGCCTACGCGCTCGGCCAAGTGCTCAGAAGGGAGGCAGGGGTCGCGCAGTTAAGTCAGAACCGAACATTTGGCATTCAGCTCATGACATGAGAACATTCCCGAGGAGTTGGAGGAGATCCGGGATGAGCTGATTTCTGATCTAAAGGGCCTTCAGCCGGTAGAGACGCAGCATACGGTGGCGCTAGTCCTTCCCCTTGCCTCCGGGCAGCTCTGCCGGGCGTTGCAGAGGCTAAAGGCGACCATCGATGAGCTGACAAAGTTTATTGCGCAGATCACTGGCTGTCACAGCCTGAAGCTGGTAACCTCGGCGTTGGTGGCTGTTCCCCCGGACGGCTACGTGCTTCCCCAGAGCTTCGCTGGGCACACTGATGCCTCTGTAGGCTTTGCCTTGTTTCTCACAGAGGACTGGTGGAGTGAATCCGATGGTGGTGTGGTGGAGCTCTTTCAGCGGAGCGGGAAAGTTGCAGCGAGCGTTGTGCCCAAAGCAAGCTCGGTGCTTGTGTACAAGGCCCACGCATGCGCTATCACTCGAGTTCTTTCGGAGAACGCGCCTCACCTTGCCATCTACGGGATCTTCCAGCCAGAGCAAACAGAAAGAGATGCGAAACAGGACCGCAGCTCGTCTCCCTTCAAAGTCGTCAGCTTGCAAGCGGAGTCCAAGGACGAGTGTGGCGAGAGCCTGGCCAGCATCGTCTCTGCTCAGCACCTGGGCCAGGCTGCTGCGTACCGTGCCCGGTTTGAGGATGCCAGCACGCTGAGTTTGCCGGGATTCCTCCAGTCACAATTCGCCAGGTATGTGACCTCAGCGCTGAGCGGCAGTAGTCGTGGCTGGAAGTTGGTGGGCCCAGTGCAAGTGAGGCGTTGCTTTGAGCTGCGCTCCAGATTTGCATCGGATCGCCGGGCCCGCCGGGCTCGACGTGCGTTGCTTCGAGTGGCCAAGGCATTGGCGTCCGACGGCTTCATGCGATATTTGGAAGCGCTGACGGGGGTCAGGAGATCTGGAGACGGCACGCTGCGGATTCGGTGCTTCCGGCCAGGATTCGATTACGACAGGCCGAGCTTGCTGGAATTCTCCCAGCTGGATGTGGTGCTTAGCTTTACGAGCGCGATCCCCCGATCACAAAGACTGGGCGGCGCGGATGTGTATGCAGAGGGCGATGTGCAAACAGCAGAGTCTCTGGGCTTGTTATTCGGAGGCGCGGTGCCTCGTGCCCCTGTTCTTTTGCGGCTTCCACTGGCAAACAATATGCTACGGATCGTACTACGAGACTCAAGTACTTCGCACTATGTAGAGCCAATTTCTGCCCATGCATCCACCAGTCGATGGGAGGTGCGACTGTCGTTGCCAGTTGAAGAGGTACAAGATGAGGAGGAGAGAACTGAAGTGATGAGAGCAGATCGTGGCAAGCGCAAGCGGGCAGCAAGCCCGCATCCGTCCAAAACAGCCGAGGGCACACTGAGTTGCTGTATTCGACACGTCCATGCTTCCAACACCCATGACTTCGCTTTGGGCTGTGCTCAAACCGTCAATCCGCCTAGTTCATTAACAGCAGGTTGGTTGACTTTCATGCTAGTTCTCAAGCCTTTTGCAAGAGCGGGCTTGCATCAGTTGACTCCAAGCAACTTCAATCATCACGCGATCCTTCAGTTCGGCGCAGAATGATCCCCACACAGGGACGGTCACCATTTTTCAGGAGACACCAGACATCTCGTGGCAAACAGTTAAAACAAGCACGGTTTCCATTCAAAGTGCAAACCAACACTGACCCGTGCGGAGCCCAAGAAACCATCATCTGCAAAAGGCCACCTTTCCACCGAGCCTTGCGTGCTCGGAAGATGGCGGCGGCACCTGCTCGGAGGGCGTGGCGCGGCTCAGCTCAAGAGAGATACGGGACTGGTAGAATAAGGCCGAGTCGGTTGAAGCACAACACAAATGAGCCACAATCAAAACCCGGGTAGATGAAGCTTAGTAAAGGACGATCCCAACTCCATAAATAGCTGCGGCGGCCTTCTTATTTCCTTACATGGTTCTGGGTAGACCATTGTAGTACTGGGTTTTGATTGTGACTCAAATGGCCCTATGTCAAGGGACCCGAAAGATGGTGGTTGAAACATGGTTGGCCAAACCTGGTGGTGGATATGCTTGAAAAGTGGGGGGGGGGGGACCCCATCCAAATGCTTGGTTCCCTCGACAAGGTAGCGTTGGTTGCACCCCAGACCATACTTTGAGGGTGCTGGATCTAGAGGGGACAACTCAACTGGCAGTCTATTTGCTATCTTGCTTTGGGGCGAGACCGGGGGGCGGGGCAGGATTCCAGCGTTTGATTGCCTCAAGCTGAACAAACAGCCGGGCTGGTTGACGTTCCCCGAAATGTGAACCCTGGTTTTGCGTCTATCTCTTGATCTTCCTGAGCTCGACTCCTGAGAAGTTCGGCCAAGATCGGTGTTCTCCAAGCTTGGCACGTGAGTTTTGCCCAGGATGCGCTCTTTGTGTGCTGCTCGCGCTGGCCGCAAAAAGCATTTCGGTCCTGGCCCTAGGAAGAACGCCGGGGAAAGAGACACACTTTCCTGACTGGGTGTTCACATGAGCGTCCATTTTTTCTTTAAAGGGCACCATGCTTGGTTTACTTTGTGCCCATCTCGCAGTTCGTGGGTTTCCCTCATTGGCTATGACCGAGGCTCCCACCGGAGCCACGGATTTCGCCACCGGCCGCAGCGAGGCAGCCCAAAGACAGGTGAGTGGTGCCCAAAGCCGCTGCGGGCAGTTTAGACAGCATCAGTAGTATCACCAAGTAGGGATGCGCGACACCGACTAGACGTGTAAAGGATGCTCCTGATCAATTTCAGCAGTGCTACGCGCTATGCGAGCCTTTGTGACCATCTTGGTAGAACCAACACGGCCGTGGCAGGAACCCATGGCCAGCGATCGTGTGTCATCACTGGGGCCATTGCAGTTTAAATCCCACTGCCGCTTTGCGCCCTGTGCCATGCGTCAAGAAGCACGTTCCAGCTTAGCATGTCGATTGACGGGGCCGTGTGTCAGACTTGCGTGGTAAAGAGAACTGCTGCATGGCTTTGATCCCTGTTGTCCTCAAAAGGAACTTCATGTCTTCCATCCCGGCGACCATGCAACCCACTTGCGCAGGCGGCACAAGTCGTCCGGCACGCAAAGAGCGGCGACGCGGCAGAGGAGCAGAAGGGACGCATCCAAATGGGTGTGGCTCCAAATTAAACAGGAGGGGCTAACCGCAGGTTTTGGTACCCATGTTTCCACTTACCGATCGGGCAAGCCATTTTGGGAATTCCGTTTTTTTGAATTCGCCACGGCCAAATGTCCAAGGTCCCATTCTCCGGAGTTCCTTGTTATCTTTCATGTCGCAAACAGGTCCCCCACTCCTTGCAGGAGCCCGAGGCCAAGGCGAAGGGCAGGGTGCCGAGGCCACCGGAGCCAAAGGAGGAGGACCCCTACGCCTTCTTCGTGCCCGCGGTGGTCTTCTTCCTCTACCTGGGCTTTGGCACCATCTACTCTGCAGAGACCCTTGGATTCCATTTGGATTCCTTATGTTTTTTGTTTGGCGCCTGAGATTTGGTAACTGCTTTCCGCGGGGGTTCCGGGGTCAGAGACCAGGGCGCGCCCGTTTCCACTTCGGCAGGTATTTTATGCCCATGGGCGACGTGGGGGGCAAGATTGCAGTGGGCTTCGGAGTGCTCTTCGTGCTCATCGTCTTGGGAGTGACCTTGAAAGAAGTGATGCAGTAGCTTCACCGGAAGCCCTGGCCGAAGGCTTCGTGGAATATGCGGTTTGTTTTTGGCTCGCGGAGCCAAATTTGTGAACGTCTCTCTCTTCCCAGCAAAGCTGGCAGGGTGGCGATGGAGTTTGCCAAACCGCCTGCATGACTGTTCGTCTTGTTGCATTTGCCAAAGATGGCAATGCGAGCTACACATATCAGTCACATATCCGAATGACCGTTTGGCTTATCAGCTTTGGTGCACTCCGCTTGGCTTGCACCCCAGCCATGGGAATGAGACCCATCCCCAGCGCAGTCTTCTCACCAAGCAACCGCAAACGGAAGCAACCGCAAGCAGCAAGCGGTGAAACGCACCAATTACTGGAGCTCCTTTGGTCCTGCAGCTGCGGGGGAACCCTTCGAGCACATGGCAAGGTGACTGGACTGCGTGGAAGGGATGCTCTTTCGAGATCGCTTTGCTTTGTACGGATCACGAAACCACGGACCACAATCTAATATGCAATTTTGACTGTGGAAGAGGCAAGAGCGATACCTGTCCATTTGCAAAACACTTTCGCAGACCTTTTTCCACGCAACTACCAATGCGGGGCAAGCAAGCCAAGCAGGCGTCCGAAGCAAGACTGAAAAACCAGAGTGTGCGTGTGGGGCACCCTTTGTGGGGTTCTTTGAAAGGAAGACAAGCCCATCAGCCACTGTGAGCCTGCACACACTTCCCATACATGCGCATGCGCTCCTTGCCCTCACACTTGCAATGGCGTACATTATGCAAACAAACAGGCGGCAACAAGTGCGAACTCGCACACACCTCCTCATACAAGTCTCCTTGCGTCTTGCGTGTTGCGTGCTTGTCTTGCTTCGTGTTTCTCTTTTGCAGCTTGTTCTTCCTTTATCTTGAATGTTCTTGTTTGTTGTTCATGTGATTGTTGTATTTAATTCATCGTTTCTGACTTCCGTTTTCTCTTCTGCTTTCTTGCTTTCTTGATTTCTTTCTTTTTCCGGCTTTCTACATATGTGCACGCCAATATACTAATACACGCCCTCGCACTCCTGATCGGCTGCGCGAATGCAAGCCAAAATGTTTATACAAACACCCACACGCTCACACGCAGGCCAAAATGTAGATACACACCCAAGCACACGCCCGCTTGACGCAAGCAGTTTTGTCAGATGTGCGAAGCTGCAATATGCTGATCCGCACGCGGCATACCTTCTGCACGAGGATGGATGCGCAGAAGCCAAGCGGCTTCTTAGCTTGTTCAGCCAAAGCTAGAACGGGAGGTAAAATAGAAGAAGAGAGATGCAATCCAAATGTGTCTGGGAGTGACCAGGGGCTTTTGCTGGAATCCCCCGCGCTTGCCCAAAGAGAAAGGGGAGGAGCTGTTCCATGTTGCTGTTCAAACAAACAATGGGTGGTTGCTTGGACAAATGCTTCTGAACTGCGCGGGGTCGTTGAACGGCGATTTTTGTTGGCTCACATCTTATCACTGGCTCTCTGTTCCTCCCTGTTCTTTTCCTCCTTCATTGTCTCTTCCTCCTCCTTTTTTTCCCCTGTTTTGTTTTGTTTTTCTTCCTGTGTGCATGTTACTGCCTAGGTCTTTGTCCTTCTGCTTGTCTTTGTTCTCTGTTTTGTGCTTCTTGCTTTTTTTTTGTTCTTCATGCCTTGCTTTAATGTTCAATGGTTTCTACCAGCCCCTGGTCGCACGGATGAGCTTGCTTTTTTGTCTTTTGTCGCTGCATTTCGTCTACAAGTCATGTGTGCGCGTTCGCGGCAAGGAGCTGCAGTCAGCCACCACATTTGAAGGAGAACACCCTGAAACATGTTGGTGGACATACAGGGTGCTCAATTCCAACATATGTACGGGGTCTGGCATGCCGTCTATGTTGGCTCTCACACCAGTGCAAGCATCCGGTGAAGCTGCAGATTTGGCTATTTTGACGCTCCTTGTACCCTTTGGGGTTGTTCTTTGTTTGGACACCAAGGGAAGCCCGTTTGACGGGGGCATTGCAACCCAGCGGTTTGCCTGCCAGGAAGAAGAAGTCGCCAGAGCCCGAGTCTTGCCGATCTGCGCCACTGAGTTCTGCTTTGGTGCCTGTCAGGACTTCTGAGTCAGAGAGCGAGTCTGACAGCCCAGCCCTGAGAAGCTGAAGTTTGAACGAGGTAAACAGCAAAACCCGGGTAGGTGAAGGTTAGGAAGGGACGATCCCAAGCATAAATAGCTGCGGCCGCCTTCTTAATTTTGAACATGGTTCTGGGTAGACCAATTTAGCTAACATCAAAAGCGGGGGGCCAGCAAGGATGATTCTGGACCCCACAAGTTGAGGCCGCTCTTGCGGCGAGATTGTTTCGGGTGCAGTTGCCACCGGGGTTTTGACTCAGGCGCAGAGTCGTCCTCTTCTTCCAAGCCCAAGAAGCGACTCGCCAGCAGAAGAACCCCGCATGTGGCTTAGCACTGCCTTTGTCCACTGAAGCAGCCTCAGGAAGTCTTCCAAGGCAACCAAGGCGTGGCCGTCTCTGGTTTGATGTTTGGTACGACGAGCATGATATTTTTCAGAGGAGCTTTTAGACATGCTTTTGAAGTGATCAGCGCGACTTGGAGCCTCACTTTTGGTCGTTTCGTATTTCGCACGTTTCTTGGCGTCAAGGCACTCTCCAAGACCGAATATGTGCATGATATCTGCACCATGCTTGCGTCGCAGATCTTGAGGGAGTTGATGCAAGTGAAACATGGAATGATTTTGGTATGTCTTCCAAGCACAGTAAAGCAGATCCACCGAGATGTTCATCCTTGAACTCAATTCGTCGATTGGGTTTTCCAATTCTTTTGGCCTGCCAGGCAGTTGCAACAAAGAAAGCGAGCAGAAAAGAAGCAGAGGACTAGTCAAATGCTGCTAAAAGAGCAGCGACGTGACGACGTGTTTAAATTTGGGTTTCTCAAACTTTGTCAGTCTACTAAGATAGTGGTTTGGCTTTCCGAATTGCATGCCTTTATAGGAGTCATGACAAAGCTTGACGATATGCTGGAAGGTGAGTAGAACGAGAATGCGGATAGACCGCTATCCTTGCAGGAAAAGAAGAGCAAGTCAAAGAAAAAGGCCGGTGAAGAAATCGAGCATGCACGAGGGGTGAGAGCCTTAGGCATGAATAGATAGGATTTCGGTGCGCAGGCGAAAGACGACAGCAGCGAAGATGAGAGCGAAGATGAGAACGACGAGGAAGAAGAGGACAGCTGAGATGCATGATGACTTGGCCATAGAAACCAGCTGCTCAGCAACTTGCTTAGCACTTGTCCATGCTACTCAATGAACGCAGGAGTCGGACCGGCGGGGAGCACAGTGCAGAATCGTCAAGAGCCGGGTTTGCTTGGTGTATCGCTCACGGATAAGTTGCTCCCAGGAAATCCGACAAGAAGGCGAAGCGCCGCAAAAGTGAGAAGCCGAGCTGCGCTGCGCACGAATGACATGCAGGGTCTTGGACTCATGAAACGGATGTGTTTCTTTGTTTGGAGCCCTTTTCGTGTGGGGAACTTGAACTTCATCCCCCGCGCCCCATGTGTTCCGGTTTAGGACACACCCGCCCGGTATCCCAAGCTTTCGGTTAACAAAAGTCTCCCACTTAGGCAAGGAGCGACGGCGGAGCCGAAGCGCGGCGCCCAGAGAGCAAGCGGTTGTTCCCGTGGATTGGGCCAAGCTTCAAATGGAAGACGACATCGGATCTTTTGGTGAGATAGGATGTTTTTGTTGCTGTTCTTTTCGGGTTTGGTGCTTGGAGCCACAGAGATATGCACAAATTGCACGGCGTGGCAAGAGTTGCTCCTGAGCTTCCTTTTAAGCCCAAAGTTTAGGCATTTTGTTGGTCCATCCACTCTGGACGTGAGGGGGCCCAACCACTGAACCAGCCAAAATCGAACGTAGCGGTCGTCGACTGTTTATCTTCTGCAAGATCTGCTATTTGGCCATGGGTCAAAAGCCCGTACCCGAACATCCCAATCCCCACTAAAATAGACTAAAATGGGTGGTGCACCCACCCCAAAATGATACTATTGGTTTCGACCCACAGCCATTTGTCACCCGGGAACTCGAGGCAGAGATCGGCGACGGCGGGATGACAGCAGAGGCAGTGGGAGACGGCAAAGACTTGAAGTGCAAACAGCGCCCCACCCCTGTTTGCCCAATGGCCACAAAATTTTAATAGAGAACCACCTCAAAAGTGATTGGTGGACGTGAACCCCCACCTCAATGACACCAAATGGTCCCCAATCAAACAAATCATACGCATGCAGTTGGTTGCTTAAGGGAGAAGCCTTTGTAGCCATGCTGGTAGAACCCGAAGTCACCGGGTTTTGGTCACTGCATAACTGCTCAACTGCGGCTTGGCAGGAGGGAAGCGAGCTGCCGTGCCAGGCCTTGTGCATTCAATTCGTTGCTTTGGGTGCAAAAGAGTGACAGTCACAGCCAAGTGCCAGTCTTGGTGGTACAAAAGGACAAATTCCCCCCAAAAGCAATTTGAGTCTGTACAAAGGGAAACCATTTCCCAAAAGCAATGTGAGTCTGTACAAAGGGAAACCATTTCCCAAAAGCAATTTGAGTCTGTACAAAAGGAAGTCATTTCCCAAAAGTAATTTGAGTCTGTACAAAAGGAAGTCATTTCCCAAGAGCAATTTGAGTCTGTACAAAAGGAAGTCATTTCCCAAAAGGGATTTTTCAGAACCCCTGACATCACTTTAAGGGACCCAGTTGATGTGCTTCCAGAAGCCTCTGCTTGGTGCAGGCTATCCGATGCCCTATGGCATGCCAGGCTACGTGCCAGCCCAAGCCCAAGTGCGCCGAGGAACTGAAGCTTACAGTGACCTGGGACCATGTGGCGTGTGGTGAAACTTTGGTTGACATCTTTAGTTTTGTTTGCTTTCAAAGGGGCAACCCCGTTTTGTTGTTGTTTCCTTTTTTCTTACTTTTTTTTTTCTCTTCTTTTTTTTGGGGGGAGGACATGTTTTGATTGTGAGGGATATTGAGGGCCTCGCGAAGCCGCACATCCCTTTTCGAGCAGACGCTTTTGGTGCAGGTGCCCTATGGTGCACCCCCGTGGGGCCCTTACGCAGCGTGCGGGGCTAAGGAGCGGTGCTCAAAGGATAGGTTCCCTTTTGGTCCCCTTTGGGTGGGATGTGAACGGCCTAAGGCCGGGAGTGAAAGGGGGGGGGCAAAAGAGGAGCAACGCACCGATGCTTGTTGTGCGCCAGCCCTGGAGACACCCCCTCTAGCTGCAATCAAGGCCTCTCTAAGATAGGGACAGACCGGGCTGTATGGAATGGGAGCCGGTTCTTTTCCGGCCCGACTCTACCTGGCTTACTAAGAATACTGGGAGAACCTACCCGAGTGTGTTGTTTTTTTGGGCGAGTGCCCTTTTCGGGGCTTCTTTTGCAGGGAAACGAAAGGGAAGCCGCGCATTGGTCGGAGACCAGCCCTACGTTTAGCTTTTTTTTTTTAATTATAAAGTTGACACCAACAGGACAGGCCTGGTCGGTTTGGATGACTCCCAGGCAGTACGCCATGGGGCGTGGACCTCCTGGAGACTATAGCACGGCCCTCGGGGATTTGCTTTAAGGCGAGGGGGTGCTTTTGAAGTCAACTGATGCTTGAGAACCGGTTTCACTTTTCTTGGATTTTTTGCTCCCCTTTTGGAGACCGTTTTCCTTATTTTGACGCACCTGGAGTGGAATGCCCAATGTCCTTGGCCTTTGCGGTTCCCATGGGTTCCCCTTTTGGACGCCCAGCCCCGGTTCCCCCGGTCAGGCCAGACCAGCCGCGCCCTGGACCGCGACAAGCCCCGGGACTGGCGGGGCCGGGACTTCGGGGCCTTCAACGGGCGCGACGACCGCGACCGGGTGAAGTGGGCCGCGGCCTCGGCCGGACGCCTCGTTCCGTCGCCCAAACCCAAGACCGGGGTAGAGGAAGGTGGGTGTGGGGAAATATGAAGTCACCAGGGGAACGCAGATTTTAGTCCATGTTTTTCATTTACCAGGGCAACCCTTTTTGGGGTTGCCCTATTTTTGACCCACAGCCAGGGATCCCGGTCCCATCGTAAACAGGTGCCGCCGCTTCTGAAATTCTTGAAGCATGGTTCTGGGTGAACGATTGTTGACCGGGTTTTGAGTATGACTCTCTTGAAGCTTCGGTGGAAAGGAGTGTTTCGGGTTTCCCATTTTGGTCGGATTGAAGGGACGCCAAGAGGAAACACACCGCCCATGCTTTCAGGGTTTCCCCGTTGAAGGTCATGTCGCTAAAGTTGTCATTCGGCTGCAATGGCTCCTCTTGACGGGGCTCGGAATCATGACAGTTCGCAATCGCCTGGGTCCCTTCCTATTTGTTAACTTTCTTTTGTCGACTCATCCATTGCCGACGTCGGACTCTGTTCAAACAGCCAGTTCTACTTGAGGTTGGCAGGGATGATCAGCAAACTCCAAAAGGGGTTTTGGACAACCAAGTCAAGGGCTGTGCCCCACATGTGCAAGGGTCATAAGTCGGTATGAAGAGATATGAAGAGTTCCTTGCGTGAATCGCCATGACACGACCAATTGTTTGAAGCATGTGTGGAGCGATTGGAAACCCTGAGAAGCAACACCTGAGCTGCGAAAATCGAGCTACCCATACGCATGTGTGTGTGTGTGTGTGTGTTTGCGCAGAGTGACAGAATTACCCTGTCACCAACCTTTTAATCTCAGCAGAGGGACGTGGCGTGCAATCAGGGACCACGTCCAACGAAGCTACCTGATTGCGCGGGAAGAGCCTGATCAGCTCTGTGTACCTGCCGGTGGTGTTGTTGTTTGTTTTGCCGTGTGTGCTTCGTGTTTGACCTTGTAACACTAGAGTGAAGCCACCGTTTTCGCCACTCGAAAGCCAACCCACTCGAAACTTACCGCTTGCACTCGAAAGATGAGACCTCTCCTTCGGGAGTTGAAGTGTGTGTGCGGCGCGATGAGGGGGCAGATTGTCGCTCCAAGTCCGAAACTACGAAGAACATGGGTCAAACCCGGGCGACGCAGCGGCGGCTGTCACCAAGGTCCCAGGCCAGGGCCGGAACCCCGACCTGGAGGCTCGCGCCTGAGGCTTGAGGCTTGAGGCTTGAGGCTGGTGCACCGGCGGCAATTTTTTCGGCTCGCAGCGGCGGAGTAGATGAAAGTTAGGAGAACACCTCGAGAGATTCCGCCCTTTGGTATTGCTTTGTACAGTTTTGGATAGACTCCTTTAGGTCTATTTTTGTGACTGCCTCGGTTCAAACCACTGCCACGAAAACTCTTGAGGCCGCACTGGTCGATTTAACGCAACAGTAGGGCGCATATCACATACGCAAGCTTCCGCGCTGCTCAGCCATGTCGCGTACTTTTGCAGGCACGTCAGTAGCGCGATTTGTGACACTGCACGCAAAACAGGTGAGGACTTTGCCATGTGTTGTTCTTGTGCCGGCAAGTTGCCTTTGACAAGCACGCGCCATTCAGTTTCGGTTTCAAGTCCTTGGTCTGCAAGTGACATGAGGGTTCATTTGGTTTTTTTTCCCGATTCCGAATCTCGAGTGCTCAAGCCTGGTCCTTTTGTACAGTGGCCCAATGGGTGCTGACGACGAGCAGAGCTTCGCAGTTGGCTCCTTCGCCAGCAGTCCGATTCGGCGATTGGCTGATGTGCTGCGCGAGAAGGATGAGGCCGCCGTGAGGCAGCGACTGCACAAGGATTTTGGCATCGAGGTGGTTCAGCTGAAGGGTGGGGCCGGTTTTCCATATGTGTGTGGGTTAAGACCAATGGGATCCCATTTTGGTTGGTAGGTGAATTCACCACCCATTTTAGTCTATTTCAGGGCTTGCTAGAGATAGTCATCCACCATTTGGTAGTTGTCTGTGAGGGAACCATGATGATGCCCGACAGGAGGAGTTCTGACCACGGCTCTATATGGGTGTGAGTCAAAACCAATGGTGCCATTTTGGTTGGTAGGTGAATTCACCACCCATTTTAGAACCTATTTCAGTGGGGATTGGGATGTTCACTGGGGGTACGGGATTTTGAGCCATGGCCATATGGGTGTGGGTCAAAAATAGGGTAACTCCAAAATGGGTTGCCCTGGTAAGTGGAAACATGGACCAAAACCAGCCGTCCCCTGGTGGTTACATTTTGACCCATACCCATATTATGTGTTCCATGAGGCTTTAATTTTAATAGCACCCCTCGGTATGACTTGAACGGAGTTCGGCGTCTTCAAGATGTGATTCGGGAAATTGGGGAAGTCTCCAAGCTTGTCATCCTTTGCTTTTGGTATCTAAGGATGACACCTTTGCGGCCGTGCTATACGAATCCTCTATGACATGCCGACGTGGAGCCATGCTCCACCCTCGCATGGGCGAGCTGACTGTGTCCTTCAATGGCGGCAAAGATGCGTGCGTAGCCAGATGCTCAGTTTGTTTTTTAAAATGGTTGGAATACTCTTCAAACCGGTTGGTTGTTGCACAAATTCAACCACGACATGTGGTCCAAGTGCGTGGTACCCTTTCTGGGCTAGTTTTGAGGAGCCAACAGTACGCCACCCATTCCCCTATCTCCTTTGACACACCCTCAAGAAGACACATCGCCAGCGGTACGAATTACGAGGGCTATGGCATTTATTGTTGAAGAATGAGCGCTTCCTGAGCTAGGTTCTGAAGTTTTTGATTTTGAGCTATCAGTTTGGCAGAGGCAAAGGCCCTTTGCTTTAAGATTCCAGGTGAGCCACAATCAAAACCCGGGTAGATGCAGGCTAGTCCCAACCAAAAATGGGTGCAGCCGTCGTGGTAACTTTTTACATGATTGTGGGTTCACCATTCTGGTACCAAGTTTTGATTGTTCAGGTGTTGTACCTGTGGCTTGCCGTGCTGGCGGCTATGGAGGAAGAGCTGCCAGAGACTCCGCAGGTGATCTTCTTTGATTCCGGGGACGAGTTCGGCCAGGTGAGCCACAATCAAAACCCGGGTAGATGAAGCTTAGTAAGGGACAATCCCAGCCATAAATAGTTGCGGCCGCCTTTGTATTTCCTTACATGGTTCTGGGTCATCCATTTTAATACCCGGTTTTGATTGTGACTCAGGTGAAGGACTTCGTCACCTGGGCAGTGCGAAGTCTGGAGCTGGAGATGCACTTGCTCCAGAACACCTCGTTCCGACTGGGCATGGAGAGTCTGGTTGCAAACAACGTGAAGGCCGTGGTGATGGGCCAGCGCAGCGACGATCCCTGGATGGATGGTTTGGATGCATTTACGCCATCGAGTGATGGTTGGCCGGCCTTCATGCGCATAAACCCAATTTTGAAGTGGTCATATCACCATGTTTGGATCTTTCTTCGCCAGCTGGGCTTCCCCTACTGCGAGCTCTATGACCAGGGTTATACATCTCTGGGCAGCGTCAGCGACACACTGCCAAATCCAGCACTGCTCAGGCCAGATGGTAGCTACGCCCCTGCTTATGAGCTGCAGGATGGGAGTCTGGAGCGCAACGGCCGGGCGAAAAGGGCCAAGGTGAAGCAAAACACATCACCTCCGGCCCAGGAAACCGCCTGACATCATGAGGCAGCCGTTTCTTCAATCGAGGCGCCGCCAGACATATGTGTTTTTTTTGGTTTCACCGTTTTATGCGGGTTGCGTGGGCCCACGATGCATGGCAGCCGACACGTGAGCTGCAAGCCTCCGGCGGCAAGCCTGGCCTCGGATTGGGCCAGCTCAATGTCGGATTGGGCCAGCACAACACAGACCAGCTCTTTATGCTGCCTGAGTCAGCATCATCAGAACTGTAGAGTGAAAAGTGCCGCTTCATGTTGCTACATGTGCGCGCTTGGCATTCGCATTGGCTGTGTCGCATGGCAGGAGCATGGGCTGCTGGCAACAACCCAGGTGGGATGAGAGTCAATGGCGAGCCATGGACATGTGCCCCATGTTGGGGTTTAGAACTCACATCTCTGCCCCTGTGCAGCTTGTCCGGTCGAAAGCTGCAGAACCTCGGCAGATTGCGGCATTCGCGGAGCAAGAGCGCCGCGGGGGGAAAAACAATGGAGCGTGGGAGATGCGACAGATGCCCGGTGTCCTTGTGCAGCGCCCAAAACGTTATGAATTGTTTTTGGGTTCTGCTAAATGTCTTTTTTGGGAGTTATAGAAGTAAGGCTTAAATGCATATCTATTTTAGTAGAACCCAAAGTCAATAGGTTTTGAGTGCTGCTCACGCACCGTTGTTTGTTGAGCTCAATCTTGGCAGGCGGAGAAGTTGACAGGTGCGCCTTTGGCAAGGAATTATAGCGAGCACGATGATAGGCAGGATGCCCGGAGGGTGTTTGGCGTGTCCTAATTTCGATGGCCGCGGGCGGCAAGTTGTCTCATTGCGAAGCTTTGTCAGGGGGACAAAACTGAAGTGATTCTCCCCGAGAGTCCTGCGCAGATTTCTACGTCTTGAGCCGAGCTCGTTGAAAGTTAGCGTGCCAGAGACAAGAACCACTGCCTATCAACGCACCATTCTGTGCTTCGTCTTTTCGCACACCCTGGCGTTGCACAGATGAAGTCTGTCCGACTCCCTGTACAGGTTCATCGGGCATGATTTTAGCCCAAACGGCATTTGTGCGCCGGCAATCAAACCATCTGTTTTGCATGTGTTGGTTCTTTTGCATGTCTCCGTGGGTTTGGTCTACCAGACCTCAGATGAGTTAGAAGGGCCGCATTCCAGGCGTGGGGAGGGCGCTGCGGCGCAGCTCCGGCCTCAGCTGGAGAGGGTGTGCCGGCATTGGAGTCGGTAGCCTTCCATGGGCTGGAGGCTACCCTCCCTCCCGCGTTTGCCATGGTACCAGGGGTCCCAAGAAGAAGTTTATCTCCCAGGTAGACTCCCACAGATGTCATGTTAGTGGGAGGAAGCTGCCCCTTTCACTCGGGAGAGAGGACGGTTCAGGCAAGTGGCAGGCACCGATGAGGTGGTTCAGTTCCCAGTATTTTTTTTCATGGGGCGTTTTGGCAGAACCAAAAGTCCCTGGGTTGGGTTTTGGATCTGCACCGTCGCGATGAGGACATATGCCTGGCCCTTCCTGCTTTTCAGCCTCTCTACAAAAATCCGGGGCATGACAATGTTTCCTTATTTTTCCCACGAACATAACGGGGACAAACGCGGAAAGCAACCACGCCCTGGGCAACCCCTCACTCGGTTCCCGCGTCAGGCGGGGGTCTTCACCTGGTGGAAAGTGGAAGAACGACATGCTCGGGATCTCAGATTTCCAAGTCTGAGAATAGGCAATTGGTGCCTTGAGTGTGTGGTGGTGGTCGTTCTTCCAGCCACACATCAGAAGCACACCCTCAGAAAAGAAGCACCCATTTGGGTGGCAACCAAAGAGAGGCCTATGCATTGGAACCCAAGACTCCAGATATCAGGCCCTTTCCCCAACACTCCACACAGGTATTTACCAGTTGGGTGGCTGTCCTGAAACAAGAAGCACCGAAATGAAGGGAATTGTTACATAAGTTTGGTCCGATTTGCATTTGCCAGCTGAGTCTATCTCCGTTTCAATGGGACACCCAGGATGGCCGATGGAGTTCATTGTGTTTGACCCTTGCTATGTTGTAGTTCAGGCATGTGCGATCAGATTTAGAATTGGCAGCGTGCGTGTTTTCAAAAACAACTTGCTTTAAATACGCTCGGGCCTGTGGCGATGCCCAATGCCCGGGGACCCCCTGGCAGGTAGAGAAATCAAGATCTTTGTCCCCTTGGCCTCACGAGGTTTGAGCAGATGGTGAAAGACTGAGAGAGAAGGCCGCGGATTCCGACGCATTCATGGCATGGACAAAAACCCGGGCGCTTTCCCATACCTGAGAGCTCAAAAATCAGGAACACGCCAGCCGAGCCTATGATCAATTTGGTGACGGACATTGGGACTGACTAAACTTCCCACAGAAACCGAGGGACGGAGCAATGTCAGATGGGGACACAACGTGTACGGACTATGCTCATGCGGGTGTGTCTCAAAACGGGCGGGAATCCCAACATGGGCGGTTGCCAGGACAGGCTTCCCTTCAAAGGCCCCCAAAAAGCGCACCTTCAAAAAATCGTCACACATCCAAGCAAAAGGCTTTGATACTTTGGGAAATGTGGCGATGGATATTGAAACCTGAGCGGGGTTCAGCGAACGTCATAGCACTTAAGACTCAACAACGATTGCCGCTTGGCTTGCAATCCAGACTTACAGCGACACGGGACAAGTTGGTTTGGGTGTTGTGGCCGGGATCAGGAAGCAACGATGGTTCAGCTGACTCAAATCCAGTCAGTGCATTTGGCAGCTTGAATCCGCTAGCCTTTTAGGCTGGTATCACCACTCCGGCATAGCACGTAGTCAACAACATTGAATCCAGCTTTCCGGACCTACAACCTGAGTCAAACAACACACAGCCAAGTGCAGACAGTGCACATCAAGACGCCTCTTTTGTGGGAAGCCATCGATTCAATCAACAACTCATTGATTTTGGTCTGCTGCAAGCAGAGCGCTGCCATGGATCTGCTGTGATGAGCTGTAATCGGGATGCCCCTCATTGTCGACAGCGTGAAGCGCGACCTGACTGCTGTCGCACCTTGGCATCATTTCGTGGATGGTACAAGGGACAAGTTAGGCATCGCTCAGGGACTGAGCATACACAGGACTATGTGAAGCCTTGTTTGCTCCCTGAGGTAGAATGGGGAAGGCAAAAGATGCAGGACGAATCGCTTGGGGCGCTGGATCGAACTGTGACCCCAGCTTTGGTGAGCGCCAGGAGGGCGACTACGAGAAAGCCAGTCAGCACTTCTGCATGGCCTTAGAACTGAGACCTGGCTT